TATAACTTTCAATGTCCTTTTTCATGGATGGCCACCAAAATTGCCGTTTAATTAAATGTAAAGTTTTTACAAATCCAAAATGCCCTGCTGATTTTGTGTCATGGCAAAGGTGCATGAAAGTTACTCTTTGAGTTGTTGGTATATATAACTTTTCCCCTATCCAAGGCAACCCGTCTCTCATTGTGCACACATTTTTGTTTTTCTGGAACCAATCATCTGTTTCCAAACTTTTTCTGAATTCAATTCCAGTTTGGCTGTCCAGTTGTGGTTTTAATTTGGCTTGGGTTCTTGTGGTTACTGGTGCTGCCAGTTGTGACTCTGCCATTATTGGTCTAGAGTCTGTGGTTCGTGCGCTGTTATATTGGGGCATGCGAGATAGTGCATCTGCCAGGAAGTTCTTTCTTCCTGGTAAATGTTTGAGCTTAAATTGGAATTGGTGAAAATGCTGGGACCAGCGGGCTTGTTTGGGATTGAGTTTCCTGGAAGTTTTCAGGGCTTCCAAATTTTTGTGATCAGTCCACACCTGGAAGGGGATTTTGTTGCCTTCCAGGAACTGTCGCCATGTGAGTAATGCCCAACGTATCCCATAAGCCTCCTTCTCCCATACGGGCCAGCGCTGTTCTGTTTCCGTGAGTTTCTTGGATGTATATGCACAGGGTTGCAATACTGCATCATCATTTTCTTGTAATAGCACAGCCCCCACTGCCACATCACTTGCATCTGCCTGTATTATGAAGGGCTTGTCCATGTCTGGGTGCCTTAGTACTGGTTCGGCAGAAAAAAGTCTCTTTAGTCTCTCAAACGCTGCTTGGCACTCCATTGTCCATGTTAGTGGCTGGCTAGGTTTTACTGAGGATGTTCCCTTCGTTTTTAGTAAGTTAGTGAGGGGCAAGGCTATCTGTGCAAATGAGGGGATGAATTGGCGGTAAAATTTGCAAAGCCCAGGAAACTTTGTAGTTGCTTTCTTGTGCGGGGTGGTGCCCATTCTAATACTGCTCTGACCTTCTCTGGGTCCATTTCAATGCCCTGTGGGGATATGCGATAGCCTAGGTAGTCTATCCTTTCCTGGTGGAATTCGCATTTTCGAGAGTTTGGCATATAGGTGAGCGGCTCGCAGCTTCTTTAAAACCGCTCTGACAAGTTTGACGTGTTCTTCTTTTGTTTCGGTAAAGATAAGAATGTCGTCCAAGTAAACAAGGACCCCCTTAAACAGGTGCTCCCTTAGAACGTCATTGATTAATTGCATAAAGACTGCAGGGCCCCCTTGTAATCCAAATGGCAAGACTTTGAATTGATAGCACCCCATGGGGCAGTTAAATGCAGTCTTCCATTCGTCCCCTTCCTTGATTCTCACTCGATAGTAAGCTTCCCTTAAGTCTAGTTTAGAAAAAATTTTCCCTTTCGATAGGTGTGACAGCATGTCTTTCATGAGGGGCAGCGGGTATAGGTTGCTTTCACTGATTGTGTTCAGGGCCCTATAATCCACGCATAAACGTAAAGAGCCATCCTTCTTCTCTCTAAAAAGGACCGGGGCAGCCACTTTAGGCTTAGCTGGTTCAATGAAACCTCTCTCCAGGTTTTTTTTTATAAATCTTTCCATTTCCTCCTTCTCCTTTGGGCTCATGGAGTATAATCTGGGTTTCGGGAGTTTTGCCCCAGGCTTGAATTCAATGGTACAGTCTGTGGGTCGGTGGGGGGGAAGCTCATTCGCCCTCTCCTCACTGAAGACTTCAGCAAGGTCCCTATATTCCTCTGGTATTTCTGTTAATCTTTTTTCCTCTCCTATGGATGCTTTTTCTATTCTTGATTCTGGTAGCCTCTCTTGGGGTTTTAAGTCCATAGGGTCCCCCTTCGGGAATTTGATTTCTGTCGTCCTCCAATTTACCCAGGGGTTCCATTTTTTCAACCATTCCATCCCTAGAATCATTGGGCATTCCATACCTGGGGTCACCACAAACGTTAAGTCCTCTTCATGGTTGCCCAGGGAGAGGTGTATTGGCAGAGTGGCTAGGGTAGCTGGCACCCCCCCTGCTATGGATCCATCTAGCTGGCCAAATGAGATTGGTTGTTCCAGTCTCCTGGATGGGATGCCCAGATTCCCCACTAGTGTTGGGCTAATGAGGCAGCGGGTGCAGCCAGAGTCTATTAAGGCTTTCACCTTCACAGCTTCGGGCATGGGGGGGATTAATATAGTCACTGTTTTGAAGATGGGTGTGATGCGTCCACTTACCAGGGGTTCGCCTTCCGAGCTGTCATCTGAGGCATCCACCGTCCCTGTGGTGTAGGCTGGAGTTCTTTCCCCTTGGTGAGCAGAGGTGGGGTTTTCTGCAATTTCCATCATTTTCATGGCTGTTTCTTTTGGCTTAGCTGAATACCCTCTGGGTTTGTTGATTGGGGATCTGTCTGGGTTGTGCTGGGGGGCCTTTGAGCGGCATTCTACAGCTCGATGCCCTTCTCTTCCGCACTTGAAACACCCCATCTGCTTCTTGGCTGTATCCGATGATTTCACCGGTTGGTGTGTCAGCTCAGGCGGGGGGCGGCTCCATTGTTTTCCTCGGCGATGCCTCTTCAATATGTCGATCTCTGCTTCCTCTGCCAAGACGTACCATTCCTCAAGTCGATGTGGGTCTCCTCGGGGCAGGCAAGCATCATATAGATCATAGTTTAGTCCGTCTTTGAAACGGCCAAGGAGGATGTCTTCTGGCCAATTCAGTTTGCTGGCAATGGCTCGGAATTCTTGTGTATACTCAGCCACTGGGCGTTTGCCCTGCCTCATCGTTGTTATTCTTTCACGGGCTTTGCGATCAGCCAGGGGGTCTTCAAATCGTCTTCTCAAGAGGACATGAAACGGTTGAAGTTACTGAGTTCTGGGGCATTGGAGTCATGCAGGTTCACCACCCAATCTGCAGCTGGTCCATCCAGGGCAGATTGCACGATCCGGATGCGGGCTTTGTCGCTGGGGATGTCCTGCCCATATTCCTCCATGTAGCTGAGGACTTGGGTTAGGAAAAACCCCAAGCGTGTTGGCTCCCCTTTGAATTTCACCTCCAACGGTGGACGTCTTGGAATGGATCGGTGCCTCCATTGTGGGTGGTAGTGTCTTCCGTCCAGATTTCCATCTGTGGTCCGGTAGGGGGTGGGAGCTCCTGGATCAGTAAATGTCCCTGGGGTTGCAGGTTCCACGTCCCCCTCGGTGTCTCTCCCTTTGTGGCTCCAGGAACTGGGGCGGGCGTAGGGCTCAGGAATCTCCTCTCCTAGGGAGCTGAGAGTTCTCTTCATCAGGTCAATAGCTCTCTCTAGGATCCAGTCTGAGTACGGCATACAGCTTCCTCCCTCTTCACTTGCGTGCAGGGATTTCTCCATCTCCTGCTTCCATTCTGGTTGCTTGGTCCCCCGTCTCAGGGTCACTTTTCTTGATTCCTTTCCCCACTCGCTTTTCTTTCCAACGCCCATCGACCAGCGAGGCTTGTGGTCCTGTGTCTCCACCACTTCTTCTTCTGAGAAATCTGGCCTCTCGGATCCCAACATCTGGCAAGGTTCCAACTGGGTCAGCGGCTCTCTTTCCAGGGAGTTTTCTCCCTCTCTTGCTTCGTTGTCTGACATGGTAAATTTTTGCAAAATCCCCCGGCAAGGGTCTACCTTCCAGGTGGATTAATTTTGCAAGTCCTGTCTAATGTAAGGACCCACCCCACTTTGCATCTTAAGAAGACAGAACTCTTGGAATAGTTCTTCCAACAGGAATCCTTTATTAAGAGAAAATGGTTGCAGGCATGCTAGACAGGACTTGGGGTCCAAGCTCTCCCATTCAAGGTTTTAAGGGGTTCCCCAGTAGTCCCACCCAATCAACCCCCCTTCCAGTGATAGTTTCAAGTATCACAATTCCACCCCGTTTCTTCTTTCTTCCGTCTGGATGGAGACTTCAGATAACTACATGAAAGGCAAATACTCTTCTTTGTTAATGCTAATGTTCTCTGGTGTTAACGCTTTGAGGTTACAATAGGTTACAATAAACACACATTCAGCATTCAGCTCTTTGAAGTCTACTGAAGGAAGTGAGGGCCATAAAGCCCTTTTGTTCTCCCCCTTCTCTCCCTCTTATGGCAGAATCCAAAGAAGGCAGAATTGGGAGTTTCTATATTTGATAATTAAAGATGAAATATGATTGGATTCTGACATCGTGGTGATGAAATAGCCCCAATCAATTTAAGGAGTTAAAGAAAAAGTTATTCCCCAGATAATCCAAAACATTGTCAGAATTTCTTTGGAGAAATGCCAAATGCTCAAGGTTAATCAGCACCATACTATATTATAGATTTCAAATGCTTTTTAAAAAAAAAATCAAGAGCACTACTTACAATTATTTTCAGCTTTGTTACTGTAAAATCCTTCTAATCCCTCTACTTTTTCCCACCAACCAAAGGTATGTTTTACCTGTGATGTTTCCATCTCTAAGAGCTGAATCTAATATTTCTAATTAGAATTGCTTAAGGTTTGCCACAGGTACAAGCTAAATGACCGCAGCATTTTCCAGAGCCAGCCTAATCTGAACGCTTCAACCTCCGTAATCGCCACCAGGCACTAAATTGACATTCCAAGCCTTGAACAAATTACCATCTTAAAAACATTATGATACATGGCAACGGTCTTTGGAGAAGCAAAGGCTCGCATATTATACAACGACCTCTGACTTTTTACTTCTAAAATAGTTCTTATTAAATCACCCAGCTGGGGTCCTCGGTATTGAGCCCCGGTCGTCGGAAAGGATGCCAGGCGCGCGCTTCTCTGCCTCTCCAACGTTTGCCCGGGGAAAGGGAAAGGCACGTTCAAAGGAGCAAAGGTCATTTACACTCAGGAGAAAGAAGGGAGAGAAGCCAGGGGAGGCAGAGGGGCGCCGGGTTTCCCTGAGAAGAAGCGGCCAAATCCGGCCCAACATACGCCCTCCTTCCGCGCACCGAAGCCGAGCCCACCCTCCAGCCAAGAGTGCGCCGGCGCTCGCTCACCCAGCTGTCATGACCACGTTGTAAATGACTAGATAGGCCGTTGCTAAGGCGCCGGGGCCTTTCCACCGCCGGCCGCCGGCCTGCTGGGGCTGCGGGCTCCTGCTCCCGGAGCCGCTCTCTGGCCGGCGGCCGCTCCCGCTGCAACTCCCGGAGGTCGCCATGGCGCCGCTTCAACTGCTTCCCTGCGCCGGGGAGGGGAAGAGCGCGAGCCAAGCGCGCGGGGCGGGGCTTGAGCGAGGCGGCTACCCAGGAGGGCCTCGCCTTCCGCGGCGTCACGCGGCTCGCCCGGGGAGGTAGGAGAGAGAACAAGGCCCGCCTGGTCGGGGAAGGGGAGCAGCCGTTGGGGCTGCTAGCTGTGGCCGGAGGCGGAGCGGGTGCATCGGGAGCTTGCAAGAAAAGCGCCGCGTAGCCAGCAAACCGCAGCAGCAGCTGTAAATCCTTGACGTGCATTTTGGCTGATTCAGCAAATCGTATTCTTCACTCTGGCTTGACTCGGATTCATTCCTTTTTTACGATCTTTCCGGCGTCTGTCATCGGGCCGTATCTAGTGGACCAATAAATAACAGAGTTGGAAGGGACCTTGGAGGGCTTCTAGTCCAGCCCCCTGTTCAGGCAGGAAATCCTATACCATTTCAGACAAATGGTTGTCCAATCTCTTCTTGAAAGTTTCTAATGTTGGAGCATCCACAACTTCTGGAGGCAAGTCTCACCAGATCCGAGATAAAAAAAAGAAATAAGGCTTTATTTATGGACGTATTTGTTTATTAAATTTATATGCGGTCCATCTCTGTTCGCAAAGTGACTCTGAGTGGCTTACAATTGCAGTCGTAAATATTAAAATACTAAAAACATTTGTAGTAGACTTTGCCCCTCTTCCAGGTCTCCCTGATAAGGAACAAACAACGTGGCTCAACCTATTTGCTGCAAGGCTGTTACCGGTATGAATGGACTGGTTTCTCCTGGGTGAGATCCAGAGGTGCTGAGAGTTGATGAAGCTGTAGTGCCTCCAGCAGCATAGCTTCTCTTCCCAGGTTCCCTGTCTTTGATCTTCAGGGACTTGGTTTTTGGGAATCAAGCTTCAGAGGGCCCTAGATCAAGTGAATTGTCTGGATCCTTTTCAGTCAGGATACAGACCCAGATTTGGGATGGAAACAACATTGGCCATATTTTTGGATGATCTCTGGCATAGGCGGGATGGTTGTGCATTCATCCTTGTCCTTCTTGACCTCTCAGCAGCTTTCAGTGCCATCGAATGTGAATTGGCTCAGAGACTTGGGGGGCGGGTAGCATGGTGTGCTGGTTTGCCTCCTTTATTGTGGTCAATTCCAGAAAATGGCAGTTGGGGAGGAGAGGCCCACCCTGGGCCACCAGGGTTCCCTTCCCTTTCTTATTGAACATTTACATGAGGCTGCTTGGTGAGCTTGTCCTTCATGAAGTATCATGAGTCTGCTGATTAATCTCTGCCCCAGTGAATTAAATGAACCATAAATGTCTTATCCCAATGTCTGGAGACTGTGATGGTGGACAAAGGCTTCAGCTGAAACCTGGCAAGAATGAATGGGCCTACTGTCTGATTTATCTGAGAGGGCTGACATCCAGACAGATCCAGTGCACAATTTGGAGGTCCTAGTCCCACAACTCCTACTCAAAGAACAAATGGCAGTTGTGGCCTTGCACCACTTTGTATTGTGCACCAGTTGTGTCTTTTCCTGAGTCAGTTGTGCTCACAATCACTTATGCCCTGGTCATTTTCAGATTGGACTACTGTAATGCACTTTACTTGGGGCTGCCCTTGAAGAGTATCCAGAAGCTTCAGCCAGTGCAGAATACAGTGGCCTGGGAAATCATGTGTGCTCCCAGAAAAGGAAATACTACCCCTCTGCTCCACAAGCTGCAGTGGCTGCCAGTCTGCTTCTGGGCCCAATTTGAGGTGCTGATTTTAACCTTTAAAGTCCTTCATGGCTTGGGAGCAGGTTATCTGAGGGACTGCCTCTCCACGACTACATCAGCCTTTATAATGCCTTGGTAAGGCTACACTTGGACTACTGCATCCAGTTTTGGTCATGACGATGTAAAAAAGATTTGAGACTCTAGAAAGAGTAGAGAGAAGAGTAACAAAGATGATCGGGGGACTGGAGACTAAAACATATAAGGAACAGTTGCTGGAATTGGGTATGTCTAGTTCAGTGGTTCTTAACCTTTTTATACCGGCGACCCCGGTCATAAGGACACGGCGCGCATGTGTGGCAGCGCCCCTATGCGCAGTGCGCATGCGCGATGGCGCCAGCTAAAAAAATGGCGGATCGCGTTGTTTGGCGACCCCCGTAAAATGGTCGTTCGACCCCAAATGGGGTCGCAACCCACAGGTTGAAACCCGCTGGTCTAGTTTAATGAAGAGAAGGACGAGGGGGGACATGATAGCAGTGTTTCAATATCTCAGGGGTTGCCACAAAGAAGAGGGTGTCAAGCTATTTTCCAAGACACCTGAAGGCAGGACAAGAAGCAACGGTTGGAAACTAAGCAAGGAGAGAAGCAACCTAGAACTTAGGAGAAACTTCCTGACAGTTAGAACAATCAACCAGTGGACAACCTGCCTCCAGAAGCGGTGAATGCTCCAACACTGGAGATTTTTAAGAAGAGACTGGACAGCCATTTATCCAAAATGGTATAGGGTTTCCTGCCTGAGCAGGAGGTTGGACTAGATGACCTCCAAGGTCCCTTCCAACTTTACTATTATTATTTAATTATTTAAAAAATGAAAATTCTAAAAGGGTTTGAAAAAGGGAAGCTTTTGGTTACCTAAATATAATTTATTATGAGAAAATTATAAGCGATAGAGACATTTTGAATATTGATGGGAAATGAAAAATTTTAAAAAGTGAGAAAAACAGGATATTGATTGAAAAAATGGATTCTAAGTGCAAATGCAATTGACGTATATTTTGGCTAGAAAAGATATAAATTGATACTATCAATATTACATATAATACCAGAAAAATGTGATGAAGATGTCCATATTTAATTGTATATGTATTAACAGTAACAAGAATTGCATTTGCCCAATATGGAAAAATGCATACTACCGGAAGAAGAGGGGACCAAGGAAGCACTGGATGGTGTAAGATAAGATAGATAAGATAAGTTAAGATAAGATAAGATAACCTTTATTGTCATTTTTATACTGTGGGCACAATGGCACACATCAAAAATGAAATTTAGTTGCCTGCTCTCAAAGTGAAACACATACATGACATACACCTAAACATACTATGAACATATGTATAGATCCACATCCCTACATATACATAGCAAATAAATATTAAATATTGTCCATTTTGAATATATAACGGAAGGAGGAAGCTTGAGAGTTCATAAGGTTAATGCTTTATGGAATGAAACTCCTCCCAGAAGGTAACAAGGAAACAGGTGTGAAGAGGATGTGTAGTGTCCCAGATAATCTTACGGACCCTGCTCAAGCAACACTTCTGTGCTATGTCCTGGATGGGAGGGAGGGAACTGCCAATGATCTTTTTGGCCACTCTCTGCACCGCCTTCCTGTCTGAAGCAGTGATGCCTCCAAACCAGACCGTAATGCTGTATGACAGGATGCTAATATGTACCACTGAATTACTAATAGATCCAGACAACACATTGCTTATTAAGTACTTATGATTGTAAAATTAGAAAATTAATAAAATATTTATTAAAAAAATAGAAGGACTACTAGTGGAAAAGTCAGGCCTCCGACTTTTTCTCAGCTTGTTGTCCTAATAGCTAATGTCAAATCACGTTTCTTGTGGGAAATGTTGACACTAAATACATACCCCTCACAATTCTTTGTTCACTCTGGTGCATGAATAGAAATATCAAGCACTTGAGCATTTTATCTTCCAAAGAGGACATCTTTCCCGAAATTACGCATTAAGAACTGCTGGAACTTAACAGAAGCTTTCATAATTTCCCAAAACTTTAGATTGCACGGAAATACTCTCCGAACTAAGCTGCTGTGAAGATGTTTTGGGTGAGATTTTGTCATTATTTGTTTATACTCCCCCTTAAAGTTTTAAGAAGTTTAAAATGATCTGATCCAAGGCAGAATGATTGGCCCAAAGTCACCCAGCCAGCTTTCATACCCAAGGTGGGACTAAAACTCACCATCTCCTGGTTGCTGAATGGACTTTTGATTTGTATTTCATATATGTTCAAAAAGAGGGATGTGCAGTTATAGTTTAAATCTGGGAATTCCAGTTTTGAGCAGAGGAAAGGTATCCATGGAGTAGGAATCAATTTAAGTCTCTGTGCATGTATATGTGTGCATGGAAATTCAAACTGCATTATAACTTGCAATAAAAATTTAACTTTGCATAAGAATGCCCATAGATGGCTAATTTAACCATAATTTATTCAGCTTGCCTTCAATTCAGAATATGCACAGCAGTGACTGCTCTGAATTATCATATCAGTTTGCAATACAGCATATCTCCTGAAAATAACTTTTCTCTCTTCCCCCACTTAGCACAATCCAGAGGGATACTGTGTAGGAAGAGAGAGAACTACACAAGCAGTTCTGTGCTTTTTGAAGACAGAACTGTTTATGGAGTCAGCATATTGCCCAACAATATGGCTCCTCATTTTACTGACCTGGGAAGGATGGAAAGCTGAGTCAACCTTAAGTTGGTCAGGATTGAACTCCTGGCAATGAGCAGAATCAGCCTGTAATACTGCATTCTAACTACTGTGCCATATATCGCAATAATATAGGTTGTATGGAAGAGAAAAGGGGGAATGGAGGAAAAAAGGATAAAAAGTCTAGGAGGTGGAGGGGAAAAAAAAGAGGTGCTGAAGTGAGTTAGAAGGCAGTGGGCAAAAAAAAAAAAAAGAAAAGAAAAGAAAAAGAACCAAGGCAAAAAGACCAAGGAGAGAAGACCATCATTTTCAGGCTAGAATAGTTCTATTTCCTCCAGCAGGTTGTGTCAGGTGCAAGAAATCAGGAACCAAAATAGAGTTCAAAAGTATTACAAGTTTATTTCATGCTACCTATACACAAAGAATGTGATCTACTAACAGTCAAGATGAATTGGTGCCAGATAAGTCAACAGAAGAGGGTGCTGGACTTAAGTATCTTATGGGGGTGTAGAGACTCCAAACTGATGATGCATTTAACCGCCACCCACCCAGGCTCAGCCTGGTCATCTCCTAAAGATTGTCCCCCTTTCCCTCACCTCTGCCATTTCTTCCCATTTCACCTTCCATCCTTTTTGAGGACCTGCAAATAGCTCCACAGGATGCAAGGAAAGCTGACTAGAATGGGTCTCAAGGCAGGAAGTTCATATGCTATTTTTCTGATCTTTAAGATTTTTTTTTAATTAAGCATGTTGAAAAAAAATCTTATTCTTTTCTCCAAAAATGTTAAACAAAGTAAGAGTGCTTTGTTTGCCTTCAAGCAAACATTTCAATGCTTATAGATTTTTTAAAAAGACAACTGTTAGAACCATTTTGCAAACAAACACAACCACTTGTACGAGTTAAAAAGATTCATGGGCCAAGTGGAATAGTTTTAGTTTTCAGATGAATTCACCAAATTTATATGCTTTTACAACTCAGTATCTATTGTCTAGATCAGGGGTAGGCAACCCAAAACACTCAAAGAGCCACTTGGACCCGTTTCCCATCGAAAACAAAACACAGGGAGCCGCAAAACCCTTTTGATATCTAAAATGAAAATAACACTGCATATATCCTTTTTTACCTTAATGTGTGTGTGTGTGTGTGTGTGTGTGTGTGTGTATAAAATAAAGGTAAAAAAGGATATACGCAGTGTTATCTTCATTTTAGATGTCAAAAGAGTGTCTCTTTCCTGTCTCTTTCCTCTCTCCCTCTTTCCTTTTCTTTCCTCTCCCCCTCTCCTTCTCTTTCCTCTTTCTGTCTTTCCTCTTTTTCTCTTTCCTCTCCCTTCTCTTTCCTCTCTCCCTTTCTCTTTCCTCTCCCTTTCTCTCTCTTTCCTTTCCCTTTCCTCTCCCCTTTTCCTTTCTCTTTCCTCTCCCTTTCTTTCCCTTTCCTCTCTTCTCCCTTTCTTTCCTCCTCTTTCCTTTTTTCTTTCCTTTTTCTTTCATCTCCCTTTCTTTCTCTTTCCTCTCCCTTTCCTTTCCCTCTTTCCTCTTTTCTCTCCCCCATTCTCTTTCCTCTCCCTCTTTTTCCTCTTTCTCTTTCCTCTTTCCTCTTTCTCTCTCCTGTCTCTTTCCTCTCTTTCTCTCCATCTCTCTCTTCTTCTCTCTCTTTATCTTTCTTCTCTCTTTCTGTCTCTCTCTGTAAAAGTAATCCTGATCTATATGATGTTGTCTTATATGGCTGATACAGTAACATGAAAAGAAGGGGCACAAACTAGATGCATCTTCTGGTAATCTTAGAGGACAGTGTGATGTTTGTAAGCAATATAATCCTGCACTGAATAGTGAGCTGAGGAACTGACTTGGGTGTTGCTGAATTATAACATCTGCTGATAGGACTCTGGGAGTTGTAGTTCAATCCTATTTGGAGGATCAAAGATTTCCTTCCCAGATATATAGGATGTTTAGAGAAAACATTTAGCAAAGTGCCTGTGGCACAAAACTCCAATTTATACAAAGTATGGGCAGGGAGGGGGAGCAGGACGGGAGGCAGCGGCTCTGGTTGGCGGTGGCGCAGCCCGGTTGCTGCGTTCTAAGCTGAACGGGCGGGGAGGGGGAGCAGGATGGGAGGCAGTGGCTCCGGTGGCGGCGGCGCGGCTTGGCTGTCACCCCCGCTGCGTCCTCAGCCATTTTGCCGTCGTAAGAGGAGGGCACCAAGGCCAGGTGCACCATGGGCAGCCGCGCCGGCAATGGGGAATGCCGCCGCGGGGACGTCCTGGCCAGCCCCGCCGCCCTCGCAGCCCAAGGCCTCCTCCTGCAGTGGCGGCGGCAACGGGAGGACAGCGAAGTGGAGGGGCCGCCCACTCGCCACCGCCTTGCTCAGCATGACAGGCAGCAGTGGCAGTGGGAGGATGGCCAAGAGGACCACGGAGCAGGTGGGGAAAGGGCCAGGCAGGTGCCACGGGGGAATCCACTGCCCATGAGACGGGAGAAAAGCGCAAGCAGAGAGGGGAAGCTCCGGAAGACCCCCAGCGACCCCCCCGACTAACAGAGGCGGTGGTGGAGCAGGGAAGGGGAGACCCACCGGGCAGGGAATAGGCACCCCGAGACTGGCCACCTGCGGCGCCTTACCAGGAACACTTTTCCAGCAATCCTCCCAGCCACCACGTGCAGTACAAAGAAGGAAAGAGGTTTGTGGGCAGTCCCACAAACCAAAGAAGTTCAACCAATCAATTCAAACTTCATGAGAAGTTTGAATTGATTGATTGAACTTTTTTAGTCCCACTTTTTTTTTCAGACTGCACATGGTGGCTGAGGACAGGGAGCCACAGGAGACGGCTGAAAGAGCCACATGCAGCTCCGGAGCCGCGGGTTGCCGACCCGTGCCCTGGATCAAGAAACAAATGAACAAAAGAGCTTAAATTGAACAAATGAACTAGTGGTAACATGCTTTGTGATATGTATTTATTGAGAAACTGTGAGTAACTACAGCTGTAGTGTTCTCAAATATTCCCTCTGTTTAAGACACCAGAAAACATTAGTATATTTTTTTAATTAAGATATACAAAAATACACCCTATTGTTTTCTTAACACATTGAAAACATGTGAAAAAAATGCCTTGTATGCACTAAATAATATTAAAATTGCCTTATAACAAATGTGTGGCAAACTGGCAATGACTGTGCTTTATTATAACAGAAGTTTCTCATCCACTTAAAAAGAGGACATGCTGATAACCTCAACTAAGAAACAGCGAAAGCAGTAATAAAAAAAACCCACAGCAAATGTGAGCAAATATCATAAATGGAATTCTGAATATCTGCATTCCAACAGGCAGACAAGCAAATACAGAACATGTAAGACCACCGTAATAAAATCAAACGTTCTAAAGATACTGTATGTATCTATATTGAAGTATACTTAATTTTCCTCTTCTGTCTTGAGAAGCTACTGCAAAATTTGTTCTCTGTGTTCTTTAATGAAGCCAACGGTTATGCTGAAAATATTTGCATCTTGCACAAAGAAGTGGAGAAAAGCCTCACAGTTGGAATGATGCATTAAGTGTAGACAGGTAATGTTAGGTGTTCTGAATGACAGCTAACTGTGAAAGGAAAGCAACACGGAAAAATCTGAATGTGTTAATCAGTTTAGAAGAAGGTACGTATGTTTTAGCCATCAGGTCTCTCTGTTTGCATGTATTTGTTTACCAGGAAGTCATCAACTTCATAAATATTGAGTTTGTGTTTGTTGGAACCAGTAGAGAACCTTGTAATCTAACTCTTCTTTCTGACTATCCAGTTTCTAGCAACTATTTCTTATAAGAACAAAGTAATGATACAAATAAACCTGAGTTGCAGAACACAGGCATTGATGTTTCACAATATACAAGTCTACATGTCAAAACCGCAACCTTTTACTTTGTTCTGATAAAGTGACATATTTTCCTTTTGGTATTCAGATTAGTGCTGCAAATAGAAATCTGCAATCAGGACAAAGAGTATTAATTATGATTTCTTTCTGTCCTTCAAAAAAAAAGCCATTCAGTACCAAATGAGCTTATGGTGAGGCAACCTGGCATGACAATAGATTCATCTTTCACCACAGCAGGGTTAATGTAGGATTTTAGCCAACACACCAAGTGTGTTAACCAACTTGGTTGCAAATTGTACCTGCAGCTTTTTCTTATTCTTTCATTTTTGCTCTTACTGTTACCATGATGATCACAATAGCATACAACCCACTAAGAAAATCCACTGCTGCAAAGAAAAATAGGGAAACTCTTTCATTTTCTAAACAGGATAATTACATTTATCTGCTGAATTGTCAAGCTGTTCTGCCCAGACTCAAAACTGTTATTAGTTTTATTTCAGGGGAAACTGTAATAATTTACTTTAAAATGGAGGTTTTCTGAGTTGAATTTACAAATAACACTCAAGGGGAAAGTTAAGAAAGACACAAAATACTTTTAACGGGATGCCACTGGTGTGGAAAAAAACAAAAATTGAACATGGTAACCTGTTGCAAAGATGCCTTTGAGATTATAATTATCTATATTTAGTGTCTGTTTGATAAGAGAAGCCAATTAGAGTCCAAGGGTACATCCCATCAGGAAACTTTGTGTGTGTGACTCTTGTACTTCCAGTAGGCCCCTTGCAGGTAAATTTTTACTGCTCCAAATGTACTTCATTCATACCTACATCAAGGGTGTCACAGAACACCAAAGATGCACTTTTGCTAGCTGTATCGCTTGATGGAACAATTAGTATACTTATCCAGTTCCCCTCTCCTGATCATATGTTTACAAAAGAAATGGTTGATTCTAGAAGATTAGCTTCATATGGTATGTTCACATTCGTTGTTGGGCTATGCAACTGATGCTTTAACTTAAACTAAATCCAAGCACAACAGCCAACTAAAGTGCTTGTTAATTCAAGTTAATGCCCATAAATAAAACAAACAGGTGTCAGTCACACTGCTGATGAAACAAATCAAGAAAATATGACCTAATGTCACACTACATGAGCATTAAAGAGTCTTCAACTGAGTGATTTTTCTCCTCTTCTGTTGATTCATTCTTCTTCTTCCTCTTCCTCTTGCCCCATCGTTTCCACAATAAGTTCTGCTGTACAAGTTGATTCTCCCAAACAGTTAATTGCCTTGCAAGTATATTTGGCATCGTCATCCCCACAAACTTCAGAAATAGTCAAAGAGCAGTTGCCGTCTTCATCATAATCAATCTGGAAGTGTCGGGATTCCTTGATAGAATTCTCATCTTTGTACCAAATCACTTCTGGGTCAGGGTAACCTGAAAAATACCAGATATCAAAGTGAAGATATTTTATTTGTAAAAATGTTTTAACTTACTTTTAAGCAATAAGTGTTGAATATAAAAAAGAAATAGACAATCACTTGAATTTGCCATTAAAAAAACAGGCTATGTGGCCTAGGGATGTAGATGTGCATCTAGCAACTAAGTTTTTTTTAAACTGTGAATAGTGTACAAAAAGTGCAGTTCAAACGGAGGTTTTAGAGTAAGTCCAATTCTAAGAAATTGCAGGCCACCTAAGAGGATCCTGTGGAATCTTCTTTTTTTATAAATATTTTATTAATTTCCTAATTTTACAATCATGAGTACTTAATAAACATGTTGTCTGGGTCCATTGGTAATTCAGTGGTACGTATTAACTTTCTCAGTCTAGTCCCAATACTATACCATCCAGTGCTTCCTTGGTCCTCTCTTCTTCCAGTGGTATGCATTTTTCCACAACTGGGCAAATACAATTCTTGTTACTGTTAATACATATACAATTAATATAGATATCTTCATCACATTTTTCTGGCGTTATACATAATATCGATAGTGTCAGTTTATAATGTCTTTTTTAGCCAGAACATATCTCAATTGTATTTTCACTTAAAATCCATTTGTTCAATCAATATCCTGTTTTTCCCACTTTTTAAAAATTTTAATTTCCCATCAATGTTCAAAATATTTCCATCGCTTATAATTTTCTCATAATAAATTATATCTGGGTAACCAAAAGCTTCCTATTCAAATCCTTTTAAAATTTTCATATTTCCCATCTCATAACAAAGTATAATATTCTAGTTACAAATCCTATCCTTCTAAATATAATAATATTTTTATTTCTAACAGTTATCTATTTTCTTAGCCATATTCAAACATCTATTTAATAGTATAATAACGCATCTAATAGGTCAGAACCTCTATTTTCTTCAGTCTTACTCTAGCTTTCTTCCTTTGCCAAATAACTTTCTAAATCAGTCATTTGAATCATAAAGTAGTTCTTCCTCTGTTTTTGTATATATTGTTTGGAATGAGGAAGAGAATTTGATTGAAGTATTTTTGGAAGAACACTCAACCCATTTATATTCATTAAGCAGCCTCCATCCTTCTCCTTCACTTTTTCTTTTCACTTCTTGTTTGTCAATATTCAGCATTTCTCCTAACAGCTTTATCATCCATTCAATCAGCTCTTCTTCCTTATCCTCAAATGTGTTTTCTGGGTTACTAGTTCCTTCTTTGTAGTCATTATCTGGATTTGTAAGTTTAGGTTAGAAAATTGTTCTTTTATCTCATTTGTATTACTTTTAGTCTCATCATAAAATAAAACAATTGTCTTTTAGATTGATTTCAACATAGAAAGAATTTCTTTCTGAGATTTATTGACATTTTCTTGCTGGTATATCAAGCTGGGGGCTTCGGAGACAAGTGTTAAAGATGGTTTTTTACCATTTGCGGCTAAGTATGGAACACCCATTTTGTTTTTGTATGTAGCCTTTATAGTCCAATAGGGTCCCCAATACAGATAAGCAGCCCAAGAGTTTTTTCCCCCTTTTCCCAGCTGCAGTCTGTAAAAGTGAAAGTTTCCAGGAATAACAAAGAGTCTTATCTAAGTCCGGGCTTCAAGCCAAGTTTCCTTTAAGCATAATAAATTGTAATGCTGTGATTCACCATTACATGTCATTGACACCTTTCCAGTTTTTCAAATCCAAATCTATTTTACAGACTTTCAAATATCTTTTCTAAAAAAAAGTTTCAAAGCTACATTTAGTCCCCAAATTTCAAAGCTATATATTTGTTTTAATTCCAAATTGATCTTGTAGTTTTCTCTATTTTCCCCCAAAGCAATTAATTCACCACTTTACTTTTCCTGAGGGAGCGGAGCAAAAACTTCCCTTTCCTCTCTCATCAGTGAGGATTCTTTGCTTTAAGCATTCTTTTTCCAGGAAAGTTATATTAAGGTCATAAAAAGAGGATAAAGTTTCACCCAGTTCCATCCACGTTGGAAATTTCCATCAAAATTTCCATCAAAAATTGCTAGTTAGTGCTTCGATTGTCAGCAGCTTCTGACTGGCCACACGAATGTAACCAGTCTTTCCCCCACTGGTTTGGAGGGCTTCCTCAGATCCAGCGGAAGGGTCACTGCCCCTCTGTGATCGAAGAGGGTCCCCTCCTTCGTCACCTCTCTGGGGCGAGGCAAAATCAAACCTGGAAGACAGAGCCCAATCTTCCTGCATCCGTTACGCCGCGACACCTAACCCAAAGTTCTCAGGATCCTGTGGAATCTTCCTAATCCAGATGTCCCTCTTTAACACTCAGCTCCCTTCAAATGCTGCATAGTTTATTAACAGATATGGGCATAAACTCAGTAAAAACAAGATAACTACCATGTGAAATGTAAAGTGGATAGATATATGGTGGCTTTAGAGTGACTATATATAGTTTTAAAATGCTAACAGTGCAATTTTATACTCACTTATCTGTTACATATGTGCTCAAGATTTTAGCCAGAGTCCAACAATGACTATTCCGTGATATGTCTTAGTTGTACAATTATAGTTAATAGAGACTCTAATGTCAATCAATGTATACATTTGTGGGTCTGCAGTTCCTGTTAGTACCCAATTAATTCAAAACAGGCAGATAAACACACAACATCTTATTTACATGGCAGCCCTCTCAAGGTATGTTAAGGTAAATCAATAACTAAAAAGCAGATTTAGTCATTGATATACTGAATAAAACTGTGTTTAAAATGGAATTCTATCTTGTAGCTCATCCGGAAAATGAGAATTAGAATTGGCAGATAAGATAACTCAAATTGCAAGAAGATAAAAAATACTAAAAACCAACACCAAAAGGAATGTAATAACTGAAGATGAAGTCTTCTAAAATAATGAATAATACCTTCAATTTTACAGTCAAATCTAGCAGCACTGCCTTCCACAACTTCTATATCTTGAATTGTTTTAGTGAAATAGGGCTTCACATGAGACTTTTCTTCATCAACTGCTTCTAAGAGAGAGCTGGCTGTTTCATCTAGGAAAAACAACAACACAGTTTTGCTTTATCACAGAACAATTGTCTGATAATAATTCTTACAGCCTAATAAATGTCAAAGCTTGTCTTTCAGCCACAACATAGCATTTCACGGAAGTCTACTTTATATTCTTTCCATGGTAATCTTTAATGGCTGCTAATTTAGAATTCAAATAGGAATATTTTATTCCTTTTGGGAGAATACATGTGAGAAAGCACCATGGATACTATAGACTAGATCAGGGGTAGGCAACCCAAAACACTCAAAGAGCCACTTGGACCCGTTTCCCACCAAAAACAAAACACCGGGAGCCGCAAAACCCTTTTGATATCTAAAATGAAGATAACACTGCATATATCCTTTTTTACCTTTATTATAGGGGTGTGTGTGTTTGTGTGTGTGTGTGTATATATATGTGTGTGTGTGTATGTATGTGTGTGTGTGTGTGTGTATGTATGTATGTGTATATATATACACACACACACACACACACACACACACACACACACACATATACATACACACACACACACAGAGAGAGAGAGAGAGAGAGAGAGAGAGAGAGAGAGGTAAAAAAAGGATATATGCAGTGTTATCTTCATTTTAGATCTCTCTGTCTCTCTCTCTCTCCCTCCCTCTCTATCTGCCCTTGGTCTGCCACTCCTCTTCCCTCACTCTTTCTCTCTCTCTCTTCTCTCTCTCTCTCCCTCCCTCCCTCTCTCTCTCTTTCTCTCTCTCTCTTTCTCTCCCCCCCTCCTATCTGCTGCTCACCTGGCAAGCTTCAAGCTGTTGTCCAACAAGCTCAGGAGTAGGCAACCTCGTCTCTTTTATGACTCATGGACTTCAACTCCCAGAATTCCTGAGTCAGCCTAGCTGGGCTAGCTAGCTCTCTCCTGCCCTTCCTGCTCCCTGCAGAGATGCAGCAAAGGGAGGAGCTCCGCCCAGGAAGCTTTTCAGCTCCTCGGAGAACACTGTGAGTGCACTCTCTTTTACACACACACACACATACACACACACACACAAACACACACACACAGAGAGAGAGAGAGAGAGAGAGAGAGAGAGAGAGAGAGAGAGAGGAGGGGGGGCAAAGAAGCGCAATTGCCTCTCTCTGTCTCTGTCTCTCTCTGCAAAGGCAGAGGAGGCTGGGAGTCACAGGGGAAGGCTCAAAGAGCCGCATGCGGCTCCGGAGCTGCAGGTTGCCGATCTGTGGACTAGATACATCCATGCAGTTCAAACATCAGTTGTGGTAACAGGACAATAGCAATAGCAATAGCACTTATATACTGTTTCACAATGCTTTACAGCCCTCTCTAAGTGGTTTACAGAATCAGCATATTGCCCCCAACAATATGGGTCCTCATTTTATTGACTTTGGAAGGTTGGAAGGTTGAGCCAACATTGAGCCAGTGAGGATCAAACCCCTGGCAGTCTGCAGAATTAGCCTGCAATACTGCATTCCAACCACTGCGTCACAATGCACATATATCATAGACCTGGAAGGAGCCAATGTTTATTGAAATTAACTTCCTGCTCAAACGAGCCCCTTGCTTAAGCAGAACTTAAAGTATCCCAGACAGATGATTATCCAGTTTTGTTTGAAAACACTCAGAGAAAGAGGATGCGTCAATTATCTGGGTTCTATTGTCAAATTACTCTATACTATTACAATTAACAACAGACAAAAATCAAAATTAGAATCTCATTTCCTGAAACTTAAAACCATTATCATATCTTGCACCTTAAAGCAATGAAGGACAAATTGGAGCCTTCTACTGACACTTCTTATCATATGATACTTTTAAAGCACTTCACAGTATCTTCTCAAGACTAAACATTCCCAGTTCTTTCTACCTTTTTCATAGAACTTAACTTCTATCCCCTGATCCCCCTTGCTGCCCTTCTTTAAACTTGTTCCAATGTGTGGTGTGGTTGCTCAGAAAGGAACAAAATACTCAAGATTGGATATGACCAAAAGTCATAAAATGTTAATTTATTATTTCCTGTGATTTGAAAGTTATATAACTGCTGACACAATCTTAAACTTTTAAACTTACATCATATTTTTAAATCCCTATATCATGGGTGGAAGTGCAGCATTTATCATCTACTGTATACTATAGAGATGGTTTATATTCAGTATATAATCAACTAGCATTTTGGTATCTTTTTCACAGGTACTACTGCCAAGCTGACATTCCCCCATTCTACATTTGTATTTTTCTATTGCTTTTATGTGTGTCTCTGTCAAATTTCTTTTCCAATCTAACACATTGGCCATTCCACCCAATTCTGTTGCTTTGGACTTCAATTTTCATAATCTTCTGCCATCGTGCTCAAAGTTGGAAAGACTATGGTATACCACTATACGGTACCTCCATTTCATATCAGAATTCCCATACCTCCAACTTCAATCTCTGCATTAACAGGGCTGGTTGGTGAACTTGAAGAGGACTTCCGTCCACTCAGGCCAGAAATCATTGCCATAGAAGACAGTCTTCCTATGGCACGAACAGCATTCCCCGTTTTCTATAACATAACCAAGAAATGCTGATGAATTTCTTCTTATTATACCTTATTTTTGACATATTTGTAAAAGAAGCAAAAGATTGAGAAAAATACAATGTTTCTATTTAGTGCACTGAAAGCAGACTCTAGAGATGGGGGGGGTCCCAATAAAAGTTGACCCAGCATATGGAGGGTCACAAGTGTCCAGTAAAGATTTCAACCATAGAACTTTTGCTCAAACTGCATTATGGGCTGGCAAGAAAATCTGTGAAGCAGCTGGATTTTTAGGAATTTCTCCTCTCACAGGAACAGAGGAAGGAATGAAAATCAAAAAGGGCAAATCAATAGTGAGTACCTGCACAAAGGAAGGAAAAAGTTACAAGCCAAGTTTCAGAATGGTGTAATCACTACGCCTCGCTTTCTCCTTTGTTACAGCCATAATAGAATATTGAAAAAATCTTATTAATTTGTTTAAAATAACAAATAAAAAAACCCTCTGAATACCTCCACAATTATCTCAGGAGAATTTCTTATAAGAATTGCCAAGTACAAATTTGATCAAAGTCAACATGATCATTAGTCATATAATTAAATTACATATATCACTAGAAAAGTTACATGTATTTACTTTAAGGACAGGGATTGGAATAAGGCAATTTAAGAATGTCCCTCCTTTATCCTGTACAGATAGTCCTCAACGTATGACCACAATTGAGTCCAAATGCTAAGTGAGACATCTAAGTGAATTTTGCCCCATTTTATGACTTGCCACATTTGTTAAGTGAATCACTGCAGTTGTTAAAATAGTAACACAGTTGTTAAGTGACTCTGATTCCCTCATTGACTTTGCTTGTCAGAAGGTTGCAAAAGGTATCACATGACGCCAGGACACTGCAACTGTCATAAATATGAACAGCTGTCAATCATCCGAATGTAAATCACATGACCATGGGGATGCTGCAATGGTCATAAATGTGAAAAATTGTTATAAGTCACTTTTTTCAGGGCCATTGTAACTTCAAACAGTCACTAAATGAACTGTTGTAAGTTGAGGACTACCTGTAATAGCTTTTCTGCAAAAGATGCATTGTTTTCTTAAACAAAGGGCCTTTTATTTTCATCTGTCTTCCAAATTCATGCACTTGAAGATAGAAGGTACAAAGAATTTGTTTCATATGTTCTTGATTACTATGTTTACCTGCCCCAAAGATGCTGTTTCAAAAGGCAACTGGACTTTCTTTGTTTTTTCTTGAAGACATTTCGCTTCAGTTCTGAACTGAAGAAGCTTCTTGGATGAGAAGCGAAACATCTTCAAGGAAAAACAAAGGAAGTCCAATTGCCTTTTGAAAAAGCATCTTTGGGACAACCATGACCTGGATGACTGAGAATCTCCATAGACCAGTGATTCTCAACCTTTCTAATGCCGCGACCCCATAATACAGTTCCCCATGTTGTGGTGACCCCCAACCACTTATACATCACCGGGTGCCAGGGGCGTGGCCAAAGAAAAGGGGGAAAAAATGGCGGACAGCTTTGTTTGGCGACCCCCGTGAAATGGTCGTTTGACCCCAAATGGGGTCCCGACCCACAGGTTGAGAACCACTGCCATAGACATAGGTTACCTGCCATTTTCTTCTAGCCATGTATTTTTTCATCCTATCTTTGGAGAGTTTTTTGGCTTCCATGTGTTTGGTGTCTTTTTGTAGCCATGGATGCTGTAAGCACTGAGTACAATTCAAGCGGTCCCTATGAGTAATAGAGATAATAGCTATTATACTTACATAAATAAAACTTGGATTTTATTTAGCTTTGTATTTGACAATATGGCTCATTAGACTGCAATTTATTCAGTTGCAGTCTGGTATGGTTTGTTTCAATATTGGGCATGTGACTTTATTTAATAAGTACATAAAAAGTGAAAGAAATAGATATAGTATATTTTGATTTCAAAAACTTTTTGGTTAAATCTTTTGTAAGTTTACTTCGTGTTTCAATTACATTTTTAATACTTGACTAATCTTTTGAAGTGTAAGATTAAAACTATTCTCAGAGTCTCAGATGTTTTATTTCTAGCATTATGTTAGACTAGAAAGCTGTTTGCTTGCTTGAGGGATAATCTTTTTACATTGGGATATGGCCACCTAGAGCCATAAGGGCCTCCAACATTCCTTATAAACGTTGACTTGGGCCATACGCTTGCAGATGGCATAGGGCAGCTAACTGATTGCGGGGCACAGAACTACCTTAAGTAAGCCATGAGATGGGTTCCAGTGATATGAATGATACGTCATTTAAAAATTAATTTTAATTCACAGAGGGATAAAAGATTTATGCCTTTGGAATATTATGATAACAAAATCTAATTTTAGCTCTTAAAAACCTCTACTGTAAAGTATTTGAATATTCCATGATTGTGTTTCTTATTTCTTATTCAGATGTATGTTATTATTTTTTGATATCTTTGGAGCAATAAAAATGGTAACTACCATATTTTTCTTAGAAACAGTCTGCATTTGTTACCTATTAACACATTATTTGTCACTAAGTTTTTTTCATAACTGCTGTGCAGAAGCAAAGAAATCATGTAATGAGAAAAATATCTATTATCCATTCTGAAAATAAATCTTATGTTATAGATTACATCATATTTTTAAATCCCTATATCATGGGGTGAAATGCAACATTTATCATCTACTGCATATGCTGCTTTCAGACTTCTTTTTGTAGGCCATCCAGATTCTCTGGATTATGCTGGTAAAATTAAAGTGGCATTCATAAGTTATTTTGTAATCTCCACAAATCAACAACAAGAACATGGGGAAAAGGTGTGAGTTTCAAACATGCACACAATTGTCCCTAGAGGTTTGAAATTTTTTTTTTTAAATTAGATCAGTTAGTGCAAGATCCACATACAATATCACATTCACTGAACCCCACAATTGCAAAAGTCCTTGGAGGTCTTCTAGTTCAAACCCCTGCCTAGAACTGGGATCTAAATTAAACACATTAAACTACATTTCATATGTAGTTATCCATGTTAGGAATAAAATAATTAAACTACACACTGAGATAAGCATTTTTGTGGGGATGCATCTATCTGCATATTTCTATGATTGTTCTCAGTAAAAAAAAAAAAAAGTTTAGTTGTCCTAAATAGGTATGCTCATCGCTTGACTGCTTGTGTGGAAAAATGCCAATAAATTACTAATCTAAGCAAACCTGAAATATCCCAAAAAATATTTCTAAATCAACTCCCCTTGATTTACAAGCTATGTGGGCATCAGTGTCCAGATGGAAGGCTTATGGGGCTGGCAACTATTTAAAGGAGTAATTTAAAACTACTAGAACGTAACTCTTTCCTTGATCTGCCCCTTTGCAATTCCCACACAAGCCACTGTTAGCCAAGCTGAATGCTAATACATCTGGAAAGTAATGGACTAGAATAGGAAATGTTAAAAATATTCATACCTTATGAGTCACTACAAATTTATAGCGGAGAGTTGACTTTATTAATTGTATTTATTTATTAGGGTTTATAGACCCTAGTTTGGGATTATTAGATCAGTTCCAGAAAGGCAAAGTGAACATAAGCATGGGTCTAAATTCATCATGTACATTAAATCAGTGCAGAAGTACCACAATAAAGATACCTGTTATGCAATTATGCTGGGGAAAAATAGTATAAGAGGTTTCTGCAGGAGGATAGTCATTATGCATTCCTATTATAGTATGCAAACATTGTATGAATGTACTGTATATTTACTTCATATCTTTCTTTAGAAGGTTGCTTATGAAGTCTTTAGCATCATCTGATATCTCATCAAAAGCTTCGTCATCAAAGTCCCAGGTGGCTGAGGTAACATTGGCTAAAGTTTCATTGTCATTATCACCCATGAAAGGGGAAAGTCCACTGACCCTGAAATTTAAAATAAAAACAGTGAATGTTAACATTTACTTGAGACTGTTGGTACCTTCTGAAGGAATGAATTATTTTTAAAAGCATACATGGTTTGCAAATATGTACATTCAATGATTACATACAAGATGGCACAACTTTAGAAATACGTTCTCAAAAGAGTTAAACAGCTTGATAAACCAAATATTTGCTATACTTAAAGCAGAACTGATGTTATTCCCAATAAGATCTCAATATAACTCAATACTTTAAACCAAAGAAAAAATAAGGTGGGAAAGTTTTTGAAATCTATAGAAGCAGTAAACAAAATGAACAGTTCCATTATTTAGTCATTAGAGGGAGCCAGTAATCTAGAGGTCTTTTAAAAGAAAATCAGTAATTTTTGTTTTGTTTTAAAGAGTATATTAGTGGAAGGGAGCTTCTGATCTAAATGCAAAATAAAAACATTAATTTAGAATGTAGAATAAATGCATGTCATTACAAGCAACCCTTGACCGAACAATGTCTATATAATACTTAAATTTGTTTTATTTGCAGAACAGTAGTTGTGCTACTCTTTCAGAATATGCAATGCAAATTTAGTTCAAAGTATTGATGAAAAAGTATGTGTGCTGTAGAATTATATGTGAAAATTTTGTTGCGTGGTTTGAAAAAAAATCCAATTTCAGTTCTACAGAATACAGTTATCACAAATGCTATTAAACAAAAAGTATTATAGATTTCACTATTTTATTGTGTAATGTGTTTTAGGAAACTTATTGAAACAATTAGGCTGGCAATGTAGAAAAATGCCATAGTAATGAACTGTCTCTCCAACATCACAAACACAACTGATCAGGAAATTAATTGAAAAAGATATCTTCTGTGAATATGTTCAAGTTTAAAAAAAATCCCATTCTCTCCTTCATTGATTTCTCTTTGATACGTAGCAGACTTTTTCTCTGATAAGCACTGAATCTTCAACTTGCTAAGGTCACTTCATTTTAATTGAGCTCATTGCTATATTAGCTTATTAATGCATTTACCTAAGCCATTTTGAGTCATTTCAAGATAGAAAAGCTGGAAAACATAATAACTGCTAAACGTCATTTCAGAATATGAGTCAAAGAATGTCCCATCAATTCATTCTGGATCTACAAGACCATAGAATAAGATACAAAGAATAAAGCTTTCAATTTATTGCCTTGAAAATAATGGTAAGAAAAACAGTATTCCTTATATATTTTGGGAAGGAATAGAGAGTTCAAGAATGGAATTTGCTGGCATATCTCATTTTTTCCACAGATGTCTGTAACCTTGATCTGTGAGCTCTATTTTATTCAATAGTGAAACTGTATCTAATAGCAAAACAAAGCAGTATTTGTTTATGGAAACTATTTCCTTTCTGCAGTCTCATTGTCATAATGAAAATGAACAGCAACCTTTAAGGAAAAAGTAATTTGGAGATGAAGGTATGCAGTTACTTAGAGCTAATATTGAGCTGTTTATTGGAAAGTTTTTTTCAGCTTTTTAGACTCAGCATCTTCTTGGTATGGTACGCATAAACTCAGGCATACCTTAAAAGTCTCTGACAATTCTACTTTTACTGGGCAATTACAAAATGATGTGTTGCCCTTTCAATAATGCTAGAATGAAATCAAGATAGCCTCCGTATTTACATTATTCTCATTTATACCATCTGAGACTACTCAGCTCTTCCAAGATGGTACATGGAGAAACTCAAGACCTAAGTAATGGACATATTCCTGGGCTTTCAGTTTGGCACTCTATACCAGAGCTTTTCAACCGGTGATACGCGTACCACCTCTGGTACATTGGCACATGGCACCTAGCGGGGGAGGGAAATGAGCTGAACCGGCAGAAGCACCGCACAAGCCTGAGCGAGAGATGGCTGGAGCTATAGGGCTGTCAGGGCTCAGCAGAAGCACCAGGATCAGTGCCAGATTCAGGCTCTTTCCTTCATGGGGAAGGGGGCGGGAGGGGGGATGAGGCTTCACGTTCCTCAAATCTGGGGCAAAGCAAAGCAACAGGAACCAGAAGTTGCCAATTGCCTGGCTGACAGTGGCGGGCTTGGCTACACTGTGCTGGAAGCGCAAGGCAGAGGTGCCCTGAAAACGGACCGGAGGGAAAGCAGAGCAAAAGGGAAATCTGAAACCACCTCCCCCCCAAAAAAAACCCAACCTCCGGACATCCTTTTTCCCTTCTTTCTGAACGCCCTGATGGTCCCCTGTGATGGGTAAGGGGGGTAGTGAAAGGAGGGGGCGCCACCTGCTATGGGGACTTTGACCTGTACTTCATTTTGGACAAGTAAGTGGCCAGGCGTCGTGGCAGCTGTGCAGGATGAGGCTGGGCGGCATGGGGCGCTTCATTTTGGGAAGGAGCGCAGCAGCCCTGGCAGTTTTTCAAAACTCCACAGCAGTTTTTTCACTTTGCTTTGGGTGCCAATTTGGAAAAAAAAATGCCTAGCGGATGCCGCATTCCTCTTTCCTCTGGAGGAGGTCGAAGGAAAAGGTTTGGCTCCTTCGCTGGTTTCTCATTTTGCAACATTGGTTTTTGGGGGGGGGAGTTTAGCAAAGAGCAGCTGCCAGCTGTGGCCTGTTTGGTTAGATCAGACATGTCAAACACAAGGCCCGGGGGCCGGATGCAGCCCGTGAAACGGTTTCATGTGGCCCGCAAAGCCATCCTGGAAACAGTGAAGGAATGGCCCCCACTGCCTTGGCCCTGGCCCAGGCCGGCCAGGAGGGAGCCAATGTACAATTTTGTGGTGGCCATCTATGCTGAAACGCATTCAGTCTTAGCTCCACAAGGCTATCTGGAAACAGCGAGGAACCAGCCTCTGCCACGTCGGCTCCGTCCCCTGGGTGCATGCTGGGGAGGTGTCACCCTTTGTGAGGAATGAAGAAATGCACCATCACCTGGAAGTGGCTAGCAAATGGCCCTGGCCTACTTCACATATCCCACTTAATGGGCTCTGGGATAGAGGTTTTGGCAGGCAATGGGGTGCTCTCCTCACAGTGCCGAGAGACTGAGCCGGATGGCGCGAATCTGATGAGAAGTGCAATGCTGCCTAGCCCCCAGCCTGCCCAGTTTCAGTAGGCAGCAAGGTGCAAAGCTGGCGAGCTTCGCACCGCCCGGCTCAATCTCTTGGCACTGTGAGGAGAGCGCCCCGCTGCCTGCTGAGACTGGGCAGGCTGGGGGCTGGGCGGTGGCGCATTTCTTTTTGGATTCACACCACCTGGCTTAGCCTCTCAGCGCTGTGAGGAGAGCGCCTCGCTGCCTGCCAAAAATGGGCAGGCTGGGGGCTGGGCGACATTGTGCAGGTAACGTTGATTCTCACGCTGCTCATGGCATCCCCTCCCCAGAGCCCACCAAGCCAGATATGTGAAGTAGGTGAGGGCTATGTGCTGGCCACTTCCAGGCAATGGTGCATTTCTTCATTCCTCACAAAGGGTGACACCTCCCCAGCTGCATTTCTTGCCTGTTTTTCTCCCTCCCTCATCTCAAATATTTTCCCACTACTCTGTACTTAGGAAGGAAGGAAGGAAAGGAGAGGGAGGGTCTGAGGGAAGTTCTATCTTAGTCCTGCCCTGCTGCCCTTTCACCATTCCTTTGCTCCCTCCTCCTGGCCTATCCTGGGGGTCTCCCATCCTATTGCTAAGGAAGCTTTAGATACAAAGCCCGGTCTCCTCCCATGGAGAGGGAATGAGCCTCCCTCTGACTTTGCCCTTGTACCCATCATGAGCAACCTGGCTAAGGAGAGCAAGCACAGCAGCAGCAGCCTTGAGGAGGAGGTAAGTGCAGCTGGGCATCCCCTTGGGGAAGTGGGGCTGGGCTTGGTGCCGCAGGTGCTCAAGGGCCAGGCTGGGTGTTTGACCTCTACTGCCCAGGGCTCCGGGCAGCCCGTACCACCATCCAGCCCCCTACATGGTCTGAGAGGAACAGTGAGGCTCCTCCAGTGGACTATGCCTTGACACTTGTCCTGGTCACACCCCCTTCTGTCAGAGACCCTCAGATTTGTCCCATTCCTGCCCAGGCCCCCACAGGCACAACTGATGCGAATGATGTAGAGCTGGCCACACCCACCCAGTAGGCCACACCCACTACATCCACATCCATCCAGTAGGCTGCACCCATCCTGGCCACACCCACCCAGCCCCCCGAGGGCAACTGCAATGCTGATGTGGCCCTCAATGAAATTGAGTTTGACACCCCTGGGTTAGACTTACAAATGCCTGTTTCCAAAGTAAATCCCATGCTCGGCTTCCCTCATGGGATGCAATTCCTGCGGAGCAGCCATTTAAGACAGGGGCGGGAAACCTTGGCCTTTTATGACTTGTGGACTTCAACTCCCAGAATTCCTGAGCCAGCCATGCTGAGGGGAAAGGGAGAGGTTTCCAAGCTGAGCTATGGCTGGCTCAGGAATTCTGGGAGTTGAAGTCCACAAGTCATAAAAGAGCCAAGGTTCCCCACCCCTGGTTTAAGATCTCTGAATTCCAGAGTCAATTTGAAACATGCTCCATGGCTGTGATGGATTATTGATTCAATCAATAATTAGAAGTTAGCATCTACATACCCATGAAAAAGAAATATCTTTGGGAAATATTAAACAGGCAGGAACAATAGGAAAAGAGGTGAAAAACCTAGCCCCAGAAGCCAACTATTACAAATACAAAAGGCTGCTCCAAAAGAAACATCCATTTCCCTTCTCTTAGAAAAGTCAAGCCAAAAAATAAAAGTACCAGAGAAGAGAGTTTTTTTTTCCTCTTTCTCTCTCTCTCTCCTCTCTCTTCCTCCCCTGCCAGGCTCAGTTAATAGCCTTTGGCAGACAGCCAAGAACCCCCAAGCCCCAAGTGATAAGCGCTAGCCTTGAACAAACTAAAAGAAAGCTGTTGGTCAAGTTTTTAATACCTTGGTAGGCGACTGGTAGTACTTGGATATTGCCATATCCTAAAAGTGGTACAATGGATAAAAAGGTTGAAAAGCCCTGCTCTATAGAGTCCACAACAGTTGTATGAGAAGGGTCTCAGAGAGTGTGGGTACCTTTTCCCTTAGGACACTCTACTCTCATGTCAAAAGATCACTGTGCAAAATGTGCAATCTATAAAAACTCTTGATATGTATAAGCTTGTATTAGCTCAATGCAAACTGAAAATTTACACTACTCTTATATACCAAAAAATAGTGCTGGTTTGGGGATCAGCCTGTTTTTTGCCCCAAGAGCAAAGTATTTATAATCCTTTACCCCTGTCTTTTCCCTTATGTTTTTAGGAAATCATCTATCTTTCCTTGCACAAATAAAGGATGTGGAAAAATTAGTACACATACGTAACTACACAAAAACTCTGGGTTTTTCCCAACTGAAATAGAGTAATGCAGTTTTACTTCTTTGACCTCCCTTACTATTCGCTGACCGATAATATTTGTTTCATTATGTTTTATCCTTGAGCTCGTAAGCTTTTTAAAGTGTAAGTTTCACTATTGTTCATCCAAAAAAGCATATAATGGCTCATTACATGCTAATGTAACATCTAGATGTGATTTTCTGCTAGAAAACTCAGAATTGCTTTCCAATACAGCGTTCTGTGGAAACTGTAATCTAAACGTTTCTCTGGAGGTAGAAAACTAATATTAGCTTTAATCATTTTAATTCTTGAATGGAAGGTCATTTCATTTTCCCTGACTAGGATCTACATTTTAGAAAAGTTTTTAGTAGGATTTCCTTTCATCCGCTGGCTCCAGGAAGGAAGTTACTTCTTCCTTTTCCATAACAAGGCCCAGGGCTTTTTTTTGTCATAGAACGCCCAGGACGGAGTTCCAGCACCTTTTTCGGATGGAACCTTATAGGGTAGGCAAGGTAGGTTGTATGACATATGTGAGTTCCAGCACTTGACAAGGCCCGTCCTCCCAAAAGTTGGGAGGGTAAAGAAACATATTTATAAATTTTATCAAGACCGTGAGGAAAAGAGGTCTATCTCAGTTCAAGGGCATTGGGAATAAAGTGGATATGTCATTTAAGTGGAAACAACATGTCTCAAGATTCAATTATTTTGCAAACTTATCAACTAGCTCTAAAACAGGGGTGTCAAACTGCCGGCTCGTGGGCTGGATGTGTCATGCCAAAAACACACCCACTCATTGACGGCAATGGAAAAAAAGTCGCAATATGTCGTGACATGTCACATGACGTTGCGAGTTTGACACTCCTGCTCTAAAGAAGATTATTAATTTTGTCCTGAATGTCAGAAAATCATGTAACTGCAAGACTTTAATGATCAGAATTAACAAAGAAAGAGCCTCTAAATTGAAAAGCAATAAGGAAACTGTAGATTCAGACTCAGTTTAAAGGTAGTTTTAGGCAATTGTAAAATTCAATTAAGACTAACTGGAATAATTTATATATTATGACTAGGATAACAATATGTATCCTTCCATAATTCTTAAAAGGACATTAACATACTTACAAAATATGATTTAATTAAGTTTTCATATTCTGGGAAGTTTTTATGTTTAAAGAGCATGAATGTATATTTAAGGGGAAATAATCTCAAATAAAACAGTTCTGCTGTATATGGATATGTTTAGATTGATATGTTTTCAGGAAGGTAAGGATCTAGAATATAAGCAAACAGAATGAGATATTTAAAATGTTTGAATCAATAAATTACTTACAAGATGTAGCAGATGACTCCTATGCTCCACATGTCAGTAGCATACCCAATAGGTTCGTAATTTATAACTTCTGGAGCCACAAATTCTGGTGTTCCAAAGAGGACCTTCAGAGAACCTGCATTTTCTAAGGTTACAGAGAAGGTTAAGCAAATTTTTAACCTGAAGTCTAAGCAAATTCTCCCCAAGTTTCAGAATTAACGTAGAAAAATAATTTTAAGGCAGTCTAGGTGGAATACAAAGGCAATTAGGAACGTGATCCTTGGCTGACTACCCAAATTTACAACATTAGTCTCTTGAACAGTTTATATGGAGACTGGAATGTCAAGAAAAGATTCCTTCCTTCTTTTTGTGCCTGCCCTCTCCTTCCCTATACAAAATGCTTCTAATCCATTATATGTACTATTCCTGCAGAGCGTGTGAGTACGCATATGTAAATTTATCTACCTATTCACCAATACAGTATTATGAATTTGTACATATTACAGATAAAGAAGCTACAGATCTTCAGATGTTGTACAATTCCCATTGTCACTGGCACAGGCCATGTAGGCTGAATATGGAAATGGAAGTAGAAATTAAAAAAAAAAAAGAAAAGTCACAGTTCTTCCATTCTCTTACATGGCTGACATTCCCAGACAAAGTTAAGGACTGCAGAAGTTGGATTACAAAACTCTACTACTTTAAATTATAGCAAAATCTGAGAGGTTAGCTGCATTTGTTTTCTAATGGTTTTAAATAAAGTTTTATGGTTAATGAGAAAAAGTTCAAAATCCTCTCTTGGTTATCATCCAGAGGAGTAGACTTGAAAAATGACTGAAATTATTTTATTCATCATTTTCTAACAAGCTAAGCCCAATTCTGAGATCAGGATGACAGAAAAAAAGGACAAAAAGAAATTCTAGAAACTTTACCAAACTAGTACGAGGCAGAATGTGAATTCTAGGAGTTATAAGCCCAACATACCTGGGCCTACAGAGTTGACATCAACCTATCCACCTCAAACTGGGAAAGGCCAGATGACAACATTTGTCTTGGAGTAGGAGAAACTAATCTGCATTCAATGAAGAATCAATATGATCCTTGCTATATCTCCAGAGGATTTGGGAGATAATAAGTATAGTGGGACAGTTTCTATAGAAAACAGCATAGAACTGCATTTATTGAGATTCTAATCTATCCCCAATTAATTTCACATATATTAATTCTTCAGTATAGTATGTTCCATCTTATTTCTTTATTAATCTGTGATTTTATCAAAACATATCCCTTTCTAAAAGCCTTTCATGTTTTTGTTGAAACGCAGGTTGGCACATGATACAAAAGTTAAAAAAGGTGAAATTAATAAGTAATTACCCTATAATCAAAATGTAGTTTGGGGGCTATTAATAAAAACAGTTCTGCCTGGGATCATAAATTCTGCTTCCCTGATTCTGCTTAAAATTATGATTATTTGCCACAGATATTTATTTCAGTTTGTGAAATCTAGATATCAGGCATTATTGTTTGGGGATCAGTCAAAGCCTACACAATGACTTCTCTCAAGCTCTAGAATTTATCATCTTCTGATTTATCTGAAGAGTCCACTGTAATGGATCTCTGGCAAGCTATAATGCTAATTAAACCATACAGAAAATGGGACAAGCCAGTTTTGAATGAAATAGTGGTTCCAAGTACCAAATAGCGGTTGCAATTATTATACATTATAAAAATACACCGTACCTGACAGTTTTAAAGATAACTTAGAGATTTTACCTAATCTTCGTGCAAGTCCAAAATCAATCAGCTTGATTCTTGTACCGGTTTTGTTGACACACATAATATTTTCAGGTTTCAAGTCCAAATGGACAATGGCTTGTTTATGAATGAATTGTACACCTTCTGAGATCTGTTTCATGTATTTAATGCATTCTCTCTCGGTCAGTTCAAAGTCCTCATCAATGATTCTTTCGAAGAGCTCTCCTCCAGAAACACTAAAGCAATATAACAAAGAAAAACAGACTGTATGGAAAACACATTCTTTACATGAAGGAAAGTCAGATCACCTAACTCTGATTATTCTGGAGGACTAAGATGGTATGGGGAATAGGAACAATGTAATGTATCCAAGCACAAACATTCATTTGTCCCAACATTAAACCTTTTGAACATTTCAACCTCTGTTAATGTAAGACAAAGTGACCTTGGAGATCTTCTAGTCCAATCCCCTACTCAGGCAAGAAATCCTATACTATTTCAGATAATTGTTGTCTAATCTCTTCTTAAAAACCTCCAGTTTGGAGCACCCACAATTTCTGGAGGCAAGTCATTCCACTGATTAATTATTCTAACTGTCAGGAAATTTCTCCTTAACTCTTGAGTGGTTCTCTTCTTGACTCATCCATTGCTTCTTGTCTTGCCTTCAGGTGCTCTGGTGAATAGGTTGACCTCCTCTTCTTTGTGGTAGCCCCTTAGATATTGGAACACATTGCAGTAGTGAAAGAGTACTGTGGTCTCCAGGAATTTATATTTCTAATGTTTAGATTTCATTTAGTTCATATTATTCAATATGTTTTAAATACATTTTAAAAGAGATGTTTGGATAAAACTTTTAGAGAAAAAGATACCAACAAACAACAAACTAAAAATGAATTAAAACAGTGGAGGAAATTGTATACTTTGGGACTGGTGTTGTATGTAACCACCTTAAGAAAAAGACTATGATCAAATGGATTGCTTGTGAGTACAAACGGTGAAAATAGGCTTTATTAAATAGAAACATTTTATTGCAAAGCTATTCACATTCAGTATAGGAATTTTTAATTTTCATCACACTCTGAAGCTCACAATATTTTTTTTGAAATAAATATTGTCTTTACATTCTGGAACAAGCACGCAACTGAAAAACAGTTTTCTCAGAATTCATAAACTGTCCATCAGTGCTGATAAAAAGGCTTCATTTTTAAATAATGGTCTCAAAAAGTGTATAATCCAAATATATAAATTACTCATACTTCACTCAACATTCGATACACTTACAGATAAGAATCTTAATGTAACAGCACAACCAACATATTCACTAAACTGCTGGAGTATAATTCTTGCCAAGGGCGTTTCATTCTGTAGGATCAGTTATAGACATATTGAAGTATCATTTTAGTCGTTCTCAGTAAAAGGAATGATATTAAACTTCTATTGAGGTGGGAAAAACATTTTTCCCATATATGGTATTGAACTTAAAAGAAAACGACAGCAGTGAAAACTTGGATCTGCAAATCACTTCGCAAAAAGGAAGAGTTAGAACAATTAGTCAGTGGAGCAACCTGCCTCCAGAAGCAGTGAATGCTCCAACACTGGAAGTTTTTAAGAAACTGGACAGCCATTTGTCCGAAATGGTATAGGGTTACCTGCCTGAGCAGGGGGTTGGACTTGATGACCTCCAAGATACCTTCCAACATTATTATTATTATTAGTTAATGAATCTGGCAAAGTACTGTTTATACATATTTATTTATTTATTTATTTAATGTTTATCACTCCTCTGTTTATAAAATATTCAAAGACGCTGACAGCAATTGAACAAGGAAGACTTTGTATTGGTGGTGCTTTAGGTAATAGAAGCAAAGACATTTTGGAGTTTTACTCTGAAATACTTGTGGCATTTGTGCTCCTGCCCAAACACAACCCAGAATTTAGTCGCGTCAAGTGTGCCTGAAGAAAAAGTATGAAGAAATACTTTTGGACAATTTCAGTGGACAATTTCAGTTCATAAGAAAGGATGAAGGCTCATTTGCTCAAACAAAGGATGTGCTATAATGGATGGCAGAGAAAGCAATTCTACTTAAGACAGTCAAACAGAGCAAATTAAGCCGATGAAAATGACTACTACAGATAATGGATAAAGAAGATACTCAGCATCACAAGAATTTAGAAACTGCTTTCAGATCCTCACAATAGAAATAGGCTCTGAATTTGCAAAGATGAAAAAAAAATCATACTGCTAAACAGGAGAATGGGAAGATGGATCCTAGAAGATGCAGCTTTGTAAGAAGATGAAGAAACAAGGTAATTGGTGTCTGATTTTCCAAGAAAACAAATTTATATTGGCTGGAACCATTAAGTACCTGATCATGAATATTACAGATAAATCTCAAAGAGATAGTTATCCCTTTCTGCTAGTCCAAATAGGGACAAGTGATGCTGCCAATTGCAGCTATAATTATAACAATCATGGACTATAAAGATTGGAAGAGGTTCAGAACAACGATACTCAAGTGATGTTCTCATCCATCCTTTCTACCCAGAGAACAGAGCCTTAAACATCCAATTGAGAGATAAATGGAAGATTTTTGTTTTCTTGGAACATAGACTGAGTTTCTGGATGATGATTACAGGCAAGAAATGGTCTCTAGGTACTGGACAAATACTATTTGACTGAAGTATGGCAGGTTTAATTAGAGAGACTTAAAACTGAATCCAGGAGGCTGAAGACTAAAACTCTGGTGAAAAATTATCAGGTACAGAACTGTGCAATACAGAAGGATGTTAAAGGGTTGCTTTAATGACATCTATTAAATCCTCCAATTAAAAAAAAACAGAAGAAACATTGGCTCATAAAAATCATGCTATTTATTTCCCATGATCTTGAATCACTAAATCATTAAGGCAAATATGACCTAATATAACAGATCTAGTGGAATGATTCCTGCAATTACAATAACCCACTCCTTGTTTAGCAACTTCTTCATTTAGCAACCATTTGCAAATATGACAAAAATAAAAAATCCATTAGCTGATCAATGTGTGCCTGACAAAAATGCATTCTAGAATGAGAGTAATACTGGCATAGTTGTACAAGAGCTTAATTTGAATGAGACTGTATAACCAATGATCTTTGCAGCATCTCTCTCTCTCTCTCTCTCTCTCTTTCACTCTCTCAGTCATATGTTCACTGACTGACTATTTTGCTCAATGACTTGGTTGTTAGAACAGAGCTTGGTCACTAAATAGTGCATGTGAAGGAACTGAAGGATACTTTTCATTCAAAAAGGCTGCAAAAACATTTTTCCAGGTTTCTGAACTCTTAAGATACTATGTCATTATCACTTAGACCAGTGGTTCTCAACCTTTCTAATGCTGCGACCCCATAATATAGTTCCCCATGTTGTGGTGACCCCCAACCACTTATACATCACCGGGTGCCAGGGGCGTGGCCAAAGAAAAGGGGAAAAAATGGCGGACAGCCTTGTTTGGCGACCCCCGTGAAATGGTCGTTCGACCCCAAATGGGGTCCCAACCCACAGGTTGAGAACCACTGACTTAGACCATAATGCTTTAAAAGTCAAAATAAAACCAGGGGATTTTCAGGCTTGCTACAGCTGGAATGTGCACAGAATTATTAGCATTCTTCTGTCCCCTAAGTTCTAAAGCTAGAACATAATTCTTGCATTAAAGGGGAGAGGGAAATGCATTAAAAACTTGCTAGATTCATATAATCTCAGATAAACTCGAATTATGATGGGATAAATCAAGCTTGAAATGCTATTTTAAGAGCTTTCATTTGCAGGGCCAGTCTTTTTATTTCTGGGAAATACCAGATTGAAGTAAAAGACAAAACAGGAATATACAATTTAATAAAATTCATCCTCCACAAAAGTTGCCCCATTTGGTTCAGTAAGTTCATTCCCGCAATAAGCTTGCAAACTATGGAAGTGCTCATGTTGTATAAACACCTTGGGACTGGACAGCAATTACCATTTATTGGTATATTTAAAGGGAAATAATATTTAATTGTTTAGAAACAGTGAACTATTGTGTTTTGTAGAGCTGAATGAAGTATTCTAAATTGCAAGATGCTACTTAAAGCAGTTACTGTATTCAAAACTGAGAATACAGAAAGTGACTGTACTGTTCCAATGTAATTCAGCAGCTTTCTGTTACAAGTGCCATCCAAGTGATCTGCTTTGGGACATAGGAAAACCTAAGGGCAAATATGCTATTTTAAAAATAATAATAAACAAGTTCAGGCTTCTTAGGTAAGAGAATAAAATTTATAAAAACATTAACACTGATATTATTCCTATTACAGTCAACATTATACTTACAGTTCCAATACCATGACAATGTTAGCTTTCTCTTCAAAAGCATCTACCAATTGGACAAGCTTTCGATGATGCAAACAGTTCATTATGCTGATCTCTTGCCTTATGTTTTCTTTATCCTTAGCTGAATATGCTTTAAAAAATTTTCCTGCCCAAACTTTTCCAGTTTTTTTCTCAACAAGCCGGAAAACCTGTCCAAATTTCCCTCTGAAAAATATAGAAAAAAAGAAAAGAAAAAGAAAATACGTAACACAGTAAAACATGCTTTCTGGATACCCTAGATCAGGAATAGGCAACCTTGGCTCTTTTATGACTTGTTGACTTCAATACCCAGAATTCCTGAACCAGCCATGCTGACTCAGGAATTCTGGGAGTTGAAGTCCACAAGTCATAAAAGAGCCAAGGTTGCCTACCCCTGCCCTAGATTCTAGAGTTTAAGATGATTAATGTGATTCTTATGCTCAGCTGACAGGTACTTAGCCAGAACCAGCATACTTGCATTCACAGGTACAGACATGAAAAAGCAAAAGCTATTGGAATGTGGAAACTGCCCTACAACAGCTCTGGGTTGTTTTTTTTTACTTGCCTATATAGCACAGCTTTTTCTACAGCTAATTAGCAACAGCTCTCCATGTCCTTGTAGTATTTGATATCAGTTATCTTAACATTAGAACACTGCATATTGAACTTGGAGTCCTTAATGTGCAAAGCACAGGCTTTTCTGATAAGCAACATAGTAATTAATCCAGTATTAAAAGGATTAAAATGCAATTTGAATATGTAGGTAATTTGTCTATTACAAAAGATGTGGAGAAACAAGACAAAAAGTCCTTTGCACCATTGAACGTTCTGAGTAAACTAGAAGAGAAGAATCCTAAGTAATTTCTTTGTGAACTTCTCTACCATAATCTTGGAATCTAGCAGCTTTGCCCTTCACAGACAAAAGACATTCCAGAAAAAATGGAGTTGCAAATCTGATAAAATGGATTAGGCTTCAACGATAAGATGCGTGCAGTGGTGGGATTCAAATACCTGAACTACCGGGTCTCTGCGTGGATGCAGGCCTTGACCTCTGAGGCCTAGAATGGATTTCCGGAAGTGGCATCCACGCATTTCTGGTAGGCCGTTCTAGGCCTGTAATGTCTCCTCCAGGCCTCCAAGGCCTAGAACGGACTTCCGGAAGCAGTGTGCGTTCAGCCAGTTCTCTGAACTCAATAAAATTTAGCTACCGGTTCTACCAAACCGGTGCAAACTGGCTGAATCCCACCACTGGGTGCATGTCAGAAAGTGGATGGGTGTCCACCAAGGAGATCCATTTGGAGCCAGTAAATCTTTACCTTTCTCTATGAATGATGAACAGTTTTTCACAATAGCTGTTTATACGTTTTCCCTAATTTAAGGGAAGAGAGATTTATTTATTATACCATAGAACAGTGGTGGCGAACCTAGGGCACGGGTGCCAGAGGCGGCACTCAGAGCCCTCTCTGTGGGCACATGCACCGTTGCCCCAGTCCTAGGCCTCCAGATGGGTTTTATAAAACCTTTTCGCTTTAGGCTTCCACCGCTGTGTGCAAAAAAAAAAAAGGTTCAATCAATCAGTCAATTTCAACTTCTTGCAGGAAAAAAAAAGATCTTGCAAAGTTGGAATTGATTGATTGAACTTTTTAATCCCACCCAGGATGCCATTACCACCGCAGCCATGGCCAGCCAATGAGCCACACCCACCCAATTGGCCACACCCATCCAATAAGCCACACCCACCCAGCACCCAACGATGCATAAGTGGGTTTTGGGTTGCAGTTTGGGCACTCGGTCTCTAAAAGGTTCGCCATCACTGCCATAGAACTACTGGTCCTTGGAGAGTATTTAAAGTTTGCACTGGGTACTTGGAGAATTCTTGAGACTAAGAATAAGAGCTGAGGTCAGGGACCTGTTTTATCTTCTCATGTTTGTCACTGGGCTAAGTCTGTTCCTGGAAAGTCAACCAGCTTGTTCCAGTCTGAGCCTTCCCCCTTCTGACATTGGGAGTACATTACTAATCTTTCCTTTGTGCAAGGCCACATAGGCATTCCAGTAGTGGTGCATTTATTTACAAAGATGGCTTATTTTATTCCTTGCACTGGCCATTTATTGGATTTGGAAACAGCACTTTTTAGATAATGTTTTTAGATACAGACCGTGCGTTTAGTTGCAAGACTTAATTGTGCGATCTCAGATTGAGGCTCTCAATTCATATCTATATCATTTTTGGAAGCTTCTTCCACCTATTAGACATTTAAGAATCATTTGCCACCCTCAAACCATCCAGTCTCTGATAGGTGGATGGGGAGAGTGAACCAAATATCAGAATAATACTTGAGGTGCTATGTTTCTTATCAACAGGACAACTGGACTGAATTGTTGCCTCTCGCTGCATTTGCTTGTAGCAATTGAGTGCATTTCTCCTTAGGTATATGTCTCTTTCAGGAAATCTACATTTAGGTAGCTAGCCCAGTATACACTGTGCAACAGAAAGGCAGGAGAAACTCTCCAGTGCCATTTGATACTGCACAGCAAGATTTGTCTAGTTGCTTGAATAGGTGCAAGTTGTATGCAAAAAGTGCCAATCACAGTCATCAGTGGTGAACAGTGGTATATTTTCTGTTTCCTCAGAAGCTGAACTATCATTGGCAGTTGCCAAAATAATCTTTTCTATATTTAGCTTCAGAACAATTCCATAAAGTTAAACTAATTGATTGGTAAATGAGGAATACAGATTTTTTTTTATTCTTGTTGACATCTGAGAAATCTATGCCTTCTTACATTACAAACTATAGCTTAATTTTAAAAAAAATAGTATCAATAAAAGAAAATAATCCATATCTATGTATTTCACATAATATTGAATAATTGTCCATTTGGCAAAATAGGAAACAAACTTTATGGCAGCAAAGTTGTAGAATCTGCCTGATTAAGAAGCTGATTAGTGAAACAGACCAAGAGGTCTAATTTTATTGTTCCCAATTAACTGTAATATTAGCAGCATTTGATGACTGCAAATAGTAAGATGATAAACTCATTTGGTAGAAAATTATTTGAGTATGAATAAGAAATCAGATGTATCTTAGAGCAGGGGTGTCAAACTGCTGGCCCACGGGCAGGATGCATTATAGCGAAACGGCGCCCATCCCATTGCCGGCAATGGAAAAAAAGTTGCGATACGTTGTGACATGTCACATGATGTTGCGAGTTTGACATCCCTGCCTTAGAGACTCACTTAATATGCATTTAAAAAGCTAGTGATGATAGATTTTTGAGACAATGTATTTTTAATAGAAAAGGGAAACATATTGTTATACTTACGATCCCAATCTTTCTTCAACATGGTAGAATTCTGAAACTTTTTGTTGTGTATTGATAGACACTGTCCGATAATCCATTTCTGTTCCTTTCTCTTCTAGAATTTAGTACAAAATATTTAATTACAAAAAATTCCTTTATATACTATAAATCCCATATTTTGCAATAGTCAAGGTCTTACCATCATCAGATCCTTCAGCTTCTTCCTCTTCTTTAGGGCCTAAAAAAAAAACCACACACATATCCCTCTTAGGAGCCATTATCCAGCTTGTCTATATCCCTCTTAGGAGCCATGATCCAGCTTGTCTACTTCCCCATTCTTTATTTCATATGCCTTGTTGTGACTCCTTTCTGGAATAAGGCACACTGAACTCGTTCTAAAGTTTGAGGTACACAGTATTATTGAACTGCTTTCCTATGTATTGTGATCTGCCCAATGACCAATTTACAACATTTTCATGGTTGCCAAGATGCTGGAAATACTGAAAGAAAAAGTTCTAGCTCTTGATAATTTAATGGCAACATCTAACTCCTGGCTATTGTAGGCAATATAATTTGAATTCTCATTTGGGTACATCAGATTTGTAAGCTTGATCTTTTTTCTCTCAATGTATGCTTTGCAAATAGGTTCCCAAACTGAGTTTTTCTTCTCCCTCATCTTATAAATTTTTGTTTTATCAAAAAAAAATTAATTCAAGATGTATTCTTGCTCATATATTATTCCTCCACTCTAAGCAGAAACATTTTATGGTAGCTTTACTAACAATATATTGTTTACTTTTTTTTAGAAGAAAGCTTTTGGATTGACTTTCTGTAAGCACATGGCATCTGTTTTTATAATTTTTTGCTTCATTATTGCAACTCTCATCCTATTTATATTTCTTAAGATACCATTTATGGGAAAGAGCTACAGCACAGTGATAGAATAATGTCTGATTTGTTTACAGTGAGTTTCAGGTTAGCAGTCAGCAGTTATGAGGATCAGATGGCTATTCATGTTTGGGACAGTCAGAGCAGACAGTAATTATCTGATCTATCTTAAAGACAGTATCTTGTGGAACTGCAGACCAAAACAAACTTTTCAAATTCTTTTATGAAGTTTATAAATTAATATTTGGCATTTATTTTAATAAGTGTTATAAATATAAAATTGTCACTATCATGTAGAGGATGCCTGAAGCCCCTCCACTGCTCCAAAACTTATTTTATTTTCAGGTGTGGTCAATCTTCATGCCATTTGCATATATCTGGCAGTTTACCTGGGGTCTTTCACTTTTGAATTCAGGAACTAGTAAATGCTATGCAATCAGTATCTTCTCAATGTTCAAATGTTAATGTAATGAATCCTAAATAAAACTTGTATCTTCTAACCGAACACTTATTTTATTTCCTTATTACAGATTGTTGTACTGAAGCAGAGCTATAATGCATGGCCTCCAAAGAAGGCTGGATTCAGATTAAACACATGCCTCGGGCTTGTAAACAAAGTATAATCACATTTATTATATTTCCTTTTATAACTTAAAAAGTTCACAATTATTTTTTTTTCCACTGACAGGGTTGTGGGGAAATTGAAGCACAGAAGAATCTTTCCTCTATATGGACTGTTCTTTAAAAAGTTGTTGTCCAATTTTCCATTACTTTCTTTCTTGAAGGGAACACGTTGTTGACAGTTCAATTATATGGTAAGTATTTCGGTGGTATATCCTTGGTGTGGTGTACCTTTTAAAAATTTCTTTTAAAAAAACCAATCAACTTGTTTTTTTAAGTGCTTAAACCTGGCTTTCTGGAATTCTTCAGATATGTTGGATTTCAATATTCAACCTCCAAATTGGGCTCTGCTAGTTGGGATTTTTAGAAATTGCTGTCCAAAATAGGCTGAGGAAAATTAATCTAAGATAATATTTAAGAAAGAGGTAGCCCCGTTTTTTTTTGTTACTATACAGAGCTGATGAATGTTCAGATTTTGGAAGGTGGAACCAATGCTGGAAAAAATGAACATGAAACTTAAAAAATCAAATACACTAGTCTAGAGTAATACTGTGTTAGAGGTTGCAGCTGATTATTTTCTACTTTTTGTGGGATCTTAAAAACCATTGGGTTTATTGTTGCATTTTATTCCTGGAACAGAGAGAACAGGGTGAATATATTCTCCTTCCGTTATATATTCAAAATGGACAGTGTTTAATATTCATATGTTATGTGCATGTAGGGGTGTAGGTCTATACATATGTTGTATATAGTATGTATATGTTGTATATAGTATATTTAGGTGTGTGTCATGTATGTGTTCACTTTGAGAGTGGGCAACTAAATTTCATTTTTGATGTGTGTTGTTGTGCCCACGGTAAAAAATGACAATAAAGGTTATCTTCTCTATCTTATCTTAATATGTTTTGGCCTTATCAAACTTTATACTGCAACAAGTCCTTTAAAGTGACAGTGCTTCAAGAAGACTTTCAGTAAAACAATATAAAGCTATAAAGAAATTCAGAAGCAGGCTAGTATTCATCCCATCCTATTAAAGTCTAGCTAAAATCTTCTCCATTAAGAGTAGAGAATCCTTCACTCACTCTTTCATTCTTTCTTAAATAAATGTGCAAGCTCAAGCATTTCAAATTCAAAATATATTCTACTGTAATTTGGAGCAAACAGTTTAGGATTGTGACAATCAAAGAATCTAGAGCAATTCATAGATTGAATTGGGGATGACAAAAATCTAAATCATATATGACATTCAATACATGCTATTGACAGATGAATAATATCAAATAATCAAATAGCAAAATGACAATCTCAAAAGAAGGCATCATTTCTTTCTTTTCCATTTTTCTCCAAGGTTCCTTCCAGCTCTATTCTATTCTATTCTATTCTATTCTATTCTATTCTATTCTATTCTATTCTATTCTATTCTATTCTATTCTATTCCATTCTATTCTATTCTATTCTTCAACTTTTCTTTTTCTTTTCTTGCACTTTTTGCTTTCTCTTTGCTTCTAACTTCCTTTATCTATATTAGTTTGTGTCAGTTTTTATCTTCTTTTTGTGATTATTTGTCTCCTCTGCCCTGTGCTAGATTGTTTTCTAAATTAATAGTCTTATTTTAAAAAATCTGTTTTCCAACTCATCTGGAGAGCCATTCTTCAGATACAGAATTATATGTTCAACTAAACTGCAATACCTTGCTCTCAAAAACAGCTATTATCTGTCAATTCATTGTTGATGTACATATAAGGAAATGGCACAGTCTGTACCACATCCTGATCATGATAATCTAAAAATACTGTACTGCAATTCATAAGTCTCCCTCTATCCCAACATTACAAAACAGTCCTTTTTGATAGATATGTATATAGTCCTTTCCCTTAACTTAAAATGTTTGATGCTTATTATTTCAATTATCATATAACAGACCTACAAAGTAATTTAGAACAGCATTTTAGAAATGGGAACTCAAGTTGCAAGGAAGAGTGGTTTGCTATGCCTTATGGGCAACTGCTCCATAAAACTGATTTGTCTGTGCCAAATAGTAAAGGGCAAACCATATAACCTACTACTTAAGTATCGTTTACTTACTCCAAGCTCATAGCCAGACTAATGTTTAAATGATGAATTACCCGGAAGAAAGTGATGAACTGAATTTTTGCACTCTAACAGCAAAGTTCTTTATTTAAAGTAGAAAGACAGCAACAAAGATAAGACTAAAGCAAACATATCTTTCCCAAGACAATAGCACTCATTTTTAAGTACCGGTATCCATTATCAAACCCAAAAGTTTGGATCTTGCAACTAACTGGATCATATTGAGATACAAGTACATAAAACCTCCACTTCATAATTTTATTGGATTTAGAAGCTACACGACTCCCAAATGACTCTGGGCAGCTTACATCTCAAAAGCTAGAAACAATAAAGTGAAAGAAAAAACTTCATACTTCTGGAAAAAAAAAACCTACCTCATCAAAAAAAGCCAAAACCAAACAAGCATCAAGAACCACCCTAACCCTAAATTGGAAACAGTCAGGATTTCAAAAGACTTACAAATCAATTGCAGGGTGGGAGCCAAATGGATCTCAGGTGTGGGGGATGCTCTTCCAGAAGGCTTTCATAGGTGTTCACGTAATCCGCCCTCACTTCCTCATTTTGTGTAAGGGGATTGGATGAATTTATAGCAGCTAGTATTCCAGTGATATAGAAATATTCCAAAATATAATCCCTTTATGGTAGACTTACCTTCTTCTTTCTCTCCTACTTTTACTAGCACAGATTCCTGACTTGGCTCACTGATCCCATACACATTAGCAGCTCGCACCCTGAATTTGTACTCCCGGTCAGCTAGAAGATTTTGGACATTGTATGAAGTGCTGCGGCAAGTGGTGAGATCTGTCCATTTCTTGTCCACTGTGTCCCATATTTCCACACTGTAGGACTGCACCGCACTCCCACCATCATACGAGGAGCCATACCATGAAAGGATGAGGGAATTACTCCGAATGTCGGATGCACAGGGTGTTCCTGCTGGAGGATCAGGCTTATCTGCAGACAGGGAAATGCATATGCAATGTGTGGTTGTTGTTATTCGTTGTTTGTTAAATTTATTTACTGCCTATCTCGCTGTGGGGCTATTCTAGGTGGCTTACAATAATAAAAAAAGAAAAAATGAGAGGAGTGTGAACAGAAAAGAATTAAAATAATAGAACCATAAAATATACAATGAAAAAGGAACACAACAAGAATACATCAATATGATAACCAAAAACAATCATTACATCTGTGAATCCCACTTTCTTACTTCTCACACATCAAGCCTAAGCTTGATGTAAATTTGGGAAATTTTGTTTTTCTCAAGACAGCTAGTCTTACTTTAAGACTTTATCTACATGGTGTGGGACACAAACCTATAGTTAGATTTGAAGAGTCCTGGAGTGTTTCTGTAATCTGTACTCATGAATCATGGATTCAGCAATATTATTTGATACTCAACAATCCTTACTTTTCATTTATCATCCTTATTTAGAAGGCAGTAAGAGATAGAAGTGATTTGTCATCAGGAAAATCTTTGGTCATGCAATTATTATCCATCATAGTAATCTATGCTTTATGCCAGGATTAGGTGGTCATTTTTGGCCAAGACACTGAACTAATATAAATCAGCATATTAAGCTCTGTGTTTCATGTGGGGATGTGCAACCCCTGATGTTTGCATAAAAAAGAATAATCTATACTACATTAAAGCAGATTTATTAAATCACCCTTACATTCACAGCACACACACATATGGTTCCCTGCCACACCCTAAAATGAGGGCAAACATTTTCTTGTCCAGAGATAAAAAAATCTTCCCCCCTTTCTCTAATGGATAAATAGATATTAGCCCAATTAATACTATTAAAACCAATTCAGTGTACTGAAAATGAATGATTTGGTTCTACAGCAGACCTTGTATATTTCAAATACCTTGAATTGGTTAAGGCTTTCATAGACTCTTTATATCCCTCTGAACAGCCCATTTATTTTCTAGAGTTCAAGCTTAAAATGGTTTTAGATAAGTATTAGATGCAGTAGCCACAAATGACAGATAGTATTTTGCATTCAATGCATTAATTGTATATAACTCCCTTCTTTCCAATCTCCCTCTTAAAAGTTGCAAGCATTTTGAGGTTAAGAATTTTCTGTACATACTATTTAAGGCCCAGATACATTATTAACCTAGCTGTTTATAGCATTAAAATATATTCTTTTTTCAGGTTTTTCAATAAAATTTAAAATCAAATAATTTAAAATAAAAATTCAATGTCCAAGAGTGAAGATTAATGTTTGGAACCCAGCACAATATATAACTGTAAAAATAAATCAATTTAAAAGAGGCCTAAATCTCCTGTTACTTGTATAGGTGCACTAACAGCAAAAGAGCAAAACAGTTTCAATCCTGAAGAATTAGGAAGTTTTTTTCAAAGAACTGAATAAAATGCTTCCATGCATACATAAAAGCTATTTTACTAAGCAGTACTATCCTAAACATATTTACTAAGCTACATAGATCTGTTATATAATATGGTTGCCCATTGATGAACCCATCACCAATTGTAATAATATGAGCTATAATTGCTGGGTCAAGGCTCATTGATCCTTATGCTACATACTATAACAACAGACAACAAGTCCACCATTCCCTAATTTATGATCCAAGTTGGACAAAGTCAATCAGGGTGTAGATGTCATGGGGTAGGGTAAGCAAGGAGAAGCCTAAAAATGGCTACCATCGAAAGCAGTCTCCAGATTTAGAAGTATCATGCCTTGAAAGCCCATGTTGAGAGAAACAAAGACAAGGTTTTGCCTTCTTAATGTGTTTGCCAGCTTCCCAGAAGAACTGGTTGGCAGCTCTGGGAAGCTCTGGGAAGCAAGATTAATCATCATCTAGATAGAACCACTGCAAAGCTCTATTTTTAATGAATGAACTTTAAATACCACTAACTTCAATGGAATCTGTTTCCAAGCATCTATATTTGGCTGCAGCTTTATGACAAATGCTATTAATTGATATCAAAATTAATGGATTCCTTATTCAGTAAGGAAGAAAAAGATTGGATAAGCATAAGAAGTGATATTTATGAATGGACTTTATGTGTGTCATTGTTTATAAATGTTCAAACTTTCTTAAGGCATGGAAGAAATAATTACAGCTGGAAATACTGCAGATAAATAGATGTATGATGTTTGATACAATTGTGTCATATTCATAGTGTAGTGTTAGTAAAAAGCCATTACTGGGTCACTCCCTTGTGTTTTGAAACATGGATGTTTGGTTTCCTTCTTGGCAGGAACTGATTAGTTGCAGCAGTAGCATTCACAAGTTATATTTGGGTTTTTATTTAAGAAGTTTTTTAGTGTTTAATCCTCAAGTGTCAATATACTATTATTTTTACTCTTTTGTGCAATATCAGCAGTATTAGAAAACATTTGGAAAAGAAAAAATGCAGAGTAAGTTTCTCTCTCCACAAATTTGTATTTATTTTATCAGCATTATTAAGGCATAGAGTAGCCTGAAAAACCTTTGATAAAGTGACTAAATTAGTAGATCAAGGAAACGTTGGTGATATAGTACATTTAGACTTCAGTAAGGCATTTGATAAAGTAAACCACAGCCTACTTCTTAATAAGGTAGAACAATGTGGGATAGACAATACCACCAGCTGATGTATTTGCAGTTGGCTGACCAAACACAATCAGCATGTGGCTGTCAATGGAACTACATCTACATGGAGGGAAGCATGCAGTGGGGTACCTGAAGATTCTATCTTAGGCCCAACATCTTTCAACATTTTCATAAATGACCTAGATTAGAGAAATGAAGGGGCACTCATCAAATTTGCAAATGACTCCAAGCTGGGGGGAGGGGGAAACTGCTAACACTTTGGAAGATAGACTCAAGATTCTGAAGGCTTTTAACAGACTTAAGCATTGGGCCCTACCCAACAAGATGCAATTCAATGGTGAGAAAAGTGAGTTTCTGCACTTAGGTAGGAAAAAAACCAAATGCACCAGTATGGAACAGGCAGTACCTGGCCCAACAGTGGTGCTTGTGAGAGGGATTTAGGTGTCTTGGTGGACCACCACTTAAATATGAATCAACAGTGTGCTGTAGCTGCCAAAAAAGCCAGTGCAGTCCTAAGCTGCATCAACAGAGGGATAGCATCAAGATTACAAAAGTGATAGTACTGATCTATACTGAATTAGTGTTATATTATTGTTTAACCTAATGAAGAGAAGGCTTGGGATGACATGGTGACTATCTTCCAATATTTGAAGAGCAGTCATAGGAAAGAGGGGGTTGATTTATTCTCCATAGCATTTGAGAGCAGGAAAAGAAGCAATGGGTGGAAGCTTGTCCAAGGGAGATCAAACCTGGAAATAAGGAAGCATTTCATGACTGTGAGAATAATTAATCAATGGAACATCTTGCTTCCCAGAGTTGTGGGTGCTCCCCTGCTGGAGCTTTTCAAGAAAAGACTGGACAACCGTTTGACCAGATTGATATAAGGACATTGGGCAAGGGATTGAACTAGAAGATCTTCTAGCCCTATGATTCTATGATTCCTTGTGTACAGGTAGTTCTCGACATACGACCACAATTGAGCCCAAAATTTCTGTTGCAAAATGAGACATTTGTTAAGTGAGTTTTGTCCTATTTTATGACCTTTCTTGCTACACTTGTTAAATGAATCACTGCAATTGTAAAGTTAATAACATGGTTAAGTGAATCTGGCTTCCCCATTCACGTTGCTTGTCAGAAGGTCAAAAAAAGTGATCATATGACCCTGGTACAATGCAGCCGTCATAATTATGGGTCAGTTACCAAGCTTCTGAATTTTGATCGCATGACCATGGGGATGCTGCAACAGTCATAAGCGTGAAAAATGGTCATAATTCATTTTTTTCAGTGCCGTTGTGACTTCAAATGGCCACTGAATGAACTGTTGTAAGTCGAGGACTATCTGTACTTATTATACATGTGCAAGCTTGTTCTGGGTCACATTGTTTCTAAAAATGGATACAAAATATTTCTGGGCATGATGAAAATCTATATATGGAGCCATATATACCTGCACATAATTTTTCTCAGAGTTTGACAGCGCAAGTCAAGGGTAGAATGTAACAGTTTTAGTTCTCTGCAACCAGGTCACCAATTGCAGTGCTTTAATTTTTTCTCATGAGCAAGTAAGGACAAAATTAAAAGAACATACATGGACATAACTGAAATAGGAATGTCTAAGCTCTTCCTTCTAAGGATGTTAATAGACTTATTCTGTCTATCCTATACCAGACTCAGTTGTTTCCAGAAGGATGTGGAATTATGTCTACATGAATTCTACAGCTTTCCAAACTCTTATCTGGTTCATCTCCTTGGAAGTACAAGCGCTAGCTTTGCTATGACATTCCTCATTATGTGTAATTACAACCTGTGTGTTTTTATTACTGCTTATGTATTTTTTTCTATTTATATCCCATGTTTTTTGGCCATAGGAACACAATGTCCCATTATAGAAGTAGGGAGCACCCTGGGTCATATGAGTGAAGCCTGGGCCCAGACAAAGACGCTGTACTAGTCTACTAAGCATTGGAAATATTTAGATTATTGCCAGTAATTTCAACAATTTAAAACAGACACCAAAGCCTGGAAAGGTTAAGCAAACATTCACCCTGGACTTCACACTTAGGTGCTCACATCATGCCAATCTTATGCTTCTTCCATTTCATCTTTCTAAATAAGTATTTCCATGTTTTCACAATCTGCCATAATTAATTTCCTATGGTGGTTTCCAAGATACAGCCACAGTATAAAACAGAAAGGACGAACAATTAAGCTTATCCAGAAGTTTTAAAGCTAGTCATATTTATTTGGTCCATACGTATATTCAGGGCTTTTTTTGTCATAGGACGCCCAGAACAGAGTTCCGGCACCTTTTTTGGATGGAACCTTGTAGGGTAGGCAAGGTGGGTTGTATGATGTGTGTGAGCTCTGGCACCTTTTTTTTATTTTTTACAAAAAAAGCACTGCGTATATTCATAAAAGGTGCAGTATGCCCTAACAAACACGCAGGAGGACAATTATGGATGCATCTTATCACAGAAATCTTGAATCACATCAGGAAGAAGAATAAGCTTCAAAGCTTCCTCTTCAATATGCTAGCTTTCAGATGTTGATATTACAACATGCTGTGGCACATGACTATTATTGCAAAACTGGTGTATTAACCAGCTTTATTAAAACTGGTTCAGATAAATGAAAATGCTGTTTATCTGGCTTTTATAGGGGAGGCTGAGATCTTTGAGAAAGTCCTTTTTGTCATAATTAAAATGTGCAAGGGTGTCCGCTTTCAGATTTTGAAGTGCTTTGCTAAGGATGATCACACAAGTCTCCTTCTTTTACTTTTGAATCAGTATGAAAACCATTGTTATTAAGGCAAGTCTCTGTTATCTAAGATAATTTGTTGGGTGGTGCTGTTTGTGTTGTAATTGTGTTTTCAATAATGTTTTCATTATTCCTTGAAACAGGAAGGGCTTTAAAAAATAATCTTAATTTTTTTCAAAATCTTGAACACCAATTGCTGGTGTAAAGGCAGGCATAAATAAAATAAAAATCAAATAATTCTGGGCAGGCAACAGTAATATGGGATGTGGGTTCTTCCTTGTGCACATTCTCAAAATCAGCTAGCAGAGGCTGTCTGGCATTAGCATTCATTCCAAAATTCTAGCTTCGGAGTCCCAACAGTTAACTCACTGACTGTTCTCCATTCAGGATGGAAGCAGCATCTTTTCAAGAAAGTTCTCTTTAGATACCTTAGCTCCTTTTTAATTTGAATGGTCGTATTACCATACCACACTATTATTAGCTATTGAGAAACTTGCCAGCCAGATAGAGAGCAGGCAGAAAGCAACGATTAATTCTTTTCCATGGGCTCGTCTTGTTTAGCCAGAGAAGGTATTTAATATACTGCTAAAGCTGGCTGGATGATGTCCATGCCGACATTGCTGGCAAAGGCTGCACTTGAGATTCATTTGTGGGAGAAAAATGAAACCATAAAAGGCCATAACTGAACTCTAAGATACTTCTCCCAGGGCTTGGGGTCACTGTAAACCTCTCTGCTTTCATTGGGGAAAAAAAACATTGTGTAGCTTATATTTCCAAGGGAGGAAAGAACTGTAATTTAAACGCATTATTCTATATAGATGTTAATGAATTCTATTTTTAGCAAAACTTTGGATTTAGACAAGAAATGGGTAAGTTTTATAAAAAAAAATCTTCATGTAGTAAGCAAGTTCCACAATAAACAGAACTTTCTTCTCATAAAACTGTATCCTTTTCAACACTGAAGCTACAGTGAACTTTAATGCTATGTGAGAGCTACTTTGTTTCCTGAAAGGTGTCAGTTGAGTAGACAAATTATCTAATGTGGTACCTTTGTATTATGTTATTTTACAACATTTTCTCTAATTAAATCTTATAGCTAAAATTAAGAATTATTGAATGACAATATTGAATCCCAATGGTTTCTTATGCATTTGTGAAAATCTTGGAAAGTGTCTTTTCATCTTCATTCATTACTATATAACTTGCTTTGATAATATTTAGAAAATTTTAAACACTGAATTATAAAATGTTTCCAATTTCATCTGCAAAGTTGAGAGACAGACAGCATTTCATCCAGGCTCATAAGGGTAAAAAGGGATAAGGAAGATGAGTTACATACTGGGTAGCTTTTTTTTAAAAAAAAGCCAAATCTCAATATAAAAAGAAAATGCATTGTTTTTGCAAAGAATATTACTATCAGAACCATGAAATAGATAGTGGCAGCTATATTAACAAATTTTTGGAAAGGAAGGTTTCTAAAATCTTTTATTGATTCTCTTGAAGTTACCATCTCCAAGCCAAAAATTCCTGAACATCTGACTTAGTTTCAATATTTTGTAAACCTATTCATGTCTTTATGCTATCAGATAACAGGGACCAAACTTTATGAATTTAAGATTAATATTTTTCCAGGGAAACCATTTTTCAACATGAGTAAAAGGTGTCAGTTTCCAAATCTATCAGACAAACGTTTTGCTTTTACCTTAAACAATCTAAATCACTCAACATTTTATGTTTTGCTTCTTTGCCCTTGTAGTTCCTTCATATGTAACCTGAAATATCCCAACTCTACTATTCTACTTGCTGATTTTTCCGCTTATACATTTTTTTTTGGATCTGGAGTAGCCTGAAATATGCTCAACTGTAGGGAACAAAAAGAGGAAGCTATCCCAAACCGCTAGTCAATCAATCAAGTCATCTAGCTTAGTATGGCTGCCATTAACACACACTGCTTTCAATTTCACATTTGAAAAAAAATATTTTTGTAACTGACACTAGTCATTATTATAAACTGGCATTTATAGCTTGTACTGGTCCCTGAAATTTAACTATTTTTATAGCTCACACTAATTTTCCCAGTACAATGATAAAAAAAACCTTCCTGCAACAACCTGCCCTGACTAAGGAAATATATTCTACCATAAATTATAGCCATGTTTAAAATGATAGTAGATGGTTATTGGAAATAACAGATACAAATTTACACATTCTTATTAAAGAGATACAGATATAAAGGAAAATTGTTGCTAAGGGAAGAAATGGTATCTGTTGCTGTGGTTCTTGCTATTTAATGGTTTAAATATCTTGGCATCCTCATGAAAGGTGTTCCTCAACATCTCATATCTTCTTGTGTACCCTGTGCAAAGTCAGAATGGTGATTCCCCTTTCTTGTCTAGGCATTCTCAACCAACAGCTTTGCACACCATTCTAGCTATAAATAAGGTTCCAATACAGGGATAGTCCTGTCAATTAAGACAAAGAAGTGCAGAAATAAAGAGTGAAGTAGTTGGGCTTCCATTAATCCTGTTCTGTGCCATGGCATTAGCTGCTCACAATATATTTATCATTGTGGGAGAGCCAAATGCAGGAGATATACTAAGTTATATCTTTCTATGGTGCGCTTCTAGAGATGAATGAAAATATTAAGGGAGGGGTGTTGAGTAACATGTAGGTCAGTGTTTCTCAACCTTGACAATTTTAAGGCATGTGGACTTCAACTCCCAGAATTCCACAGCCAGCAATGCTGGCTGTGGAATTCTGGGAGTTGAAGTCCACATGCCTTAAAATTGTCAAGGTTGAGAAACACTGATGTAGGTGGACTAGGACAAGACATGCCATTTTTGGAATGGAGTGAGGGTTATAAAATAGATGAGGTGACCTTGCACTGTGAGGGTTCAGGTTTTAAATTTGGGGTTTTCCATTCTGATATACCATTTTCACTTTAATCTGCTTATAACAAAATAATGCAAGGTTTTGATCATAGAAGTCACAATCAGAATGAACCCCAAGAGGCAAAAGGGACTCTGAGGTCATTAGGCTCCTGAATCTACAAGTTGTTCATTTCTGTTCTTGAGATGCCTCCTTGAATCAGGAATACTTCACTGAAGTTGATCTCATTCATATTTACTCAGTACAGAAGGAAACTATTCAATGCGAATTGAGGGAAGATTGCCCAGAACAGAAGCTACTGTTAAAGACAAAAAAAAAAAAAAAGATGAAAATGAAGGTGCAAACCTACTGCTGCTGAAAAGCATCTAGGTATTTCTGAGGATTGGATCAGTACTAAAAAATTATAATAGCAGCCTAGGTTCACCATTCATACTAAAAGCATGTTGGAAACAAACAGTTTAACAACCTCACAGAAGTTAAACCAAATTAATACCAGGACAATTTCATTCTACAATCTCAATCTGTATATAGTCAGCAGAGGACAGTATTCCAACTTCTTATTGAAATCATTCTTATTTGTTATATATTAATAATTTTCCTTTGAATCTACATTGCTTTTTAAAGTTAATTTGTAACATCTAATTATATATCTAATTATCTATAATTAGATAATCAGCTCAAGTACTCCAAATGAAAATACAACCTGATTCCAGAAAAATGAAAAACAAAAATAAAACCATACTTTTTTGTACTTACCTACAACTGTAAGGTTAACTTGGGCTTGCTTACTACCCAGCTTATTTTCCACTAATAAAGTATAACATCCACAATGTTCCTGCTTTGTGGAGGAGATGGTTAGCTTACTGCTATTCTCAGCATTCTCAATTTTGATGTGTTCATTTTCTTGGAGCTGCCAAATTAAACAGGTAGATTAACATAGATATTCTAAAAATATAGTAAACTAGGACTTCATAGATTAAATTTATTAATAGCAGATGATAAAGAAGAGTGTTGGGCTGATTATAACATTCTGTCTTTTTTTGAGATCACCTCAATATATACTCTCATGTGATATTAATCTCATTTTTGGTCAAGAAAAGCCTGTCACATTGGTAGGATTTCAACCCAACCTCACCTAAGGAACCTTAGAATGAAGAAATTATGAACAATATCACATCCAATAAATTCAAAATTTAAAACCACTTTTGGTGTGAAAGAGAGAAAAAAAGAAAATTTGAATTTGGGTTTTAACAATTAAGTGGGTTACTAATATAGAAATGATTAGCAGTTACTATCTGATATGACTAAAAAGTTGATACTATAACTATTATGTATCTTATTGTACCCCCAAATTGTTATAAGTTACTGCTTTTTGTTTCTTTTCTTTATTTCTTTTTCCTTCTCCCCCTCACTTTATCTCCTCTATCCCTTTCCTTCCCCCTTTTTCCATTGTCTTATTTCTATTTGCATTTTATATTAAGAAAACACTTTTAATAAAAATATATTCTTTAAAAATTAAAGCTATGACAGAGGGGATTTGTTTTGCTGTCAAAGTAAGTCATATCCTTAAACAAAAGTTGTTAATAGTACCAATCATAAATTTTCTTGGAGACAAGCAAATAAATATTGTTTTCCTTTGGGAGTAGTTCTACCATTTGGTTCAGTATCACATTGCTTTGAAACCAATTAATTATACACAGCAAAAGCAAGAGTGGCTGTAAGTTCAAATTAAGAAACTCTACAGTATTGTAAACAGTCATTATTGACAGCTTAAACTCAAATACTATTTACTTCGCCCATTATCTCTCAAATAGTGTTTACTAGACTTGAAAATAAGTCCTTGGGTCTTCTCAGTTGGAACTGTTAATCTTCCCAAATCTTACACTGGATTCCTTTATTTCAGATAGGGAAGCATCAGTGAGAACTTGGTATGCATAAATGGGAGTCAGTGAAAAAATGTTATTTAATTATAAGCATACAAAGAAAAGCACCATTTATTCTGGAAATACTTGGGTCAATGACTTTTATGTCATTCCATCAATTCCCTGTTAGAGAATAGCTTTCCCAGTTCATCATAGAGTTTCATTAAACACTTTTCTTTCCATAATAATTGAGATTTTTTTTAAAAAAAATCATGGTAAAAATCATTGTAAAGTCTGTTTTGGTCAAACACCCAAGTTGATCCTATAGGACAAGTAGTAAAATCATAATTATCCTTTGAGAAGACAGTAGCATTTTCAATTTCCAATTGGCATTTTGTTTTTTCTTCATGTCCCTTCATTTCTTTTATTAGTACTCAGCAAGCATTCCAGACAGGGAATTTAGATGTTCCATGCAACCAAAAAACTAAATACATGTATTAGGCAGTATTTCATTTACAACTCTGTATTAATACCATTCCTGTATTAGGGAACTTCTGATCAATCAACATTATTAGTGATAATAGTGTGGCATAGTTATACTGCCAAATCCTGGAAATACTTGAAAAAGATATTGATAAAGATATTCAACATTGCAGGTTTGGCAATAGCCGTTCTGTGCTGGTGGATGTAATAGTTTGATGTTATTGATAGCACATGTGTCCCTGAATTAAATTTCATGATCATTATGCTGTAGTGCATTTTCCATTACTGATGATATTTTGGGTTGTCTGAATCTACAAGACCTCTTGTGTTATTTCAGTCAAGTGCAGAAATTATTTTGTGGTATCAATATACAACTGCCAACAGTTAAAGGCAGATTCTGGATGCTGTGAGTGGGTCTCTGCTGTCCTTGACTTTCCTGGATTTTTTTTTTTTTAAGTCCACCAAAACAATCCAGATCAAGCACAAACTAAGAACCAATCAGAGATAAGCCCTTACCTGCATCAACTGAAAATCAACTTGGCTAAAGACCAACCAGAAGTCAGGTCCCCTGGCTATAAAGTTGGGAGGTTTTGCTCAGTTGCTGTGGTCTGAATTGGAGGCTATCTTGTCTCTGAAGATGCCAGCCAGAGTTGCTGGTGAAACATCAGGAAATGGTTGTCTAAACTTACAGTCACTAAATCCCTGAAGTTCAATATTACGCAACAGACATTGGTCATGAAAGTTTACATCAGTATAATGAAGAATATAGCTTTCTTCAGCTGAAGGCAATTTTAATTAAAATATCTATTTTGATGAATATAACTTTGGGCCCTGGGGAGTGGAGCAGTGAATATAAATTAATGATGCATGAGCCTTGATGTTCAGCAAGCATATATTCGAGTTTGGGACTTGTAACCTGAGACAATAATCAAATATCAGTAGTCTATCTTCTACTGTCTCCATAGCAGGCTAAGTTCAGGCAAAGTAATATACCATGTGCTCTGTGGGAGATATCAGAAGAAGTTGAGAGAGGATGCTCATTTGTTATATATGGGCTGGGCTACAGAGTTATTAATTCCAGAATTTCACAGCTTTAAAGCATTTTGCCCTTCCCTAAGTATATTTGTTTACATATCAGAAGCAAGAAATTATTTTCAATCTTGATGAAAATTCCATACATGTAAACTTTTTTAGATTCCCTTTTCTCTCATGCAATTTATGATTAAAAGAATAGCAGCAAAAATTCTATTACCTGCTTCCGAAATTTCATCCAGGTACACGTTAAAGGTAGGGTTCCTGCTACTTTGCACAGCAGCTCTACCGATTCACCAGACCTTACTTTCTGATCTTCTGGGAACTGAACAATCTGAGGAGGAACAGCTGATAGAAGAGGAAACAACTTTTGAGGATTTTTTTTTCCAGAGGTAAAAACTACAAATATATTGAAGTGGATATGTAAAACAGAAACCAATTGTTTATCCAGTCCCAAAGCTATATCTAACAAAAATCCAGGATCTGGTTCATGGGTATGAAAACAGAATCCTTCAACCTCTGCTTAATGGTTCAATGCCTGCTAGCAAAATATATATCCAAACTAAGGAGTTGGTAAACCTCTTTTGAGTCCAATTCATAAATGATCATTAATCAAACCTCAAAGGACAGAGGAAGCTTTATAAATCTGTGCTGATTAATCAGTCTAGGAAAAGAAACCTGCCAGTTTCCTTGGCGTACAATTAATCATCCAGATCCTTCTTGCCTAACCAAAGCTCGCATTTGACAGGCAAGGTGAGAATGCATCCATTATAAAATGCACTAACAACTGTGCCGGACTGTACAAACTTTTTCCTGCTAAAGCTGTAAGCCCAAACCAATTTCAGAGATTCTTTACAAGGGGAAAAGTTTTCCACGGTTATATTGGTTATTCTAACAATCATCCCATGCAAAGTAAAGATGGGGAGGATTCCGACTTCCATAGAAAGTCCTCTTGATCTTAGGACAGTGGTGGCGAACCTATGGCATGGGTGCCAGAGGTGGCACTCGGAGCCCTCTCTGTGGGCACACATGCCATTGCCCAGCCTTGCCTCCCCGAGACCCCCTCCTCACCTGCAGCCCCCCTGGAGGAGTCGCCCCTGAGCGTGGCCCACGTGGAGCAGCACAGCCAAGGACATGACAGCCAGGCAGGGTAGACAAGACTCTGCCCTCACACCCCATCGCGCACAGTTGATGCTGTGGGGTGTGGGCAGAAGGCGGGGCCGCCATGACACTGCTGGGCTGCCTGGGCGATCTGCGGCGGGCCCTGGAGGCGGTGAGTGGCCCTGCGGCAGGCGGGGTAGGGGGCGGGGCAGGGGCTGGAGCAGGGGGCAGTGCCAGTTTTTGGGTACTCGGTCTCTAAAAGGTTCACCATCACTGTCTTAGGATCTTCTTGGTTTATACCTAGAGAGCCTCTTATATTCCCTCCTTCAGATTTTAGGGGAACAAGCCTGCTTTAAATTAACCCAGGACTTGGAGGAATTCATTTATTTCTTTTCCAGTTGTTTTGGGTAGAATAATAGGAACAACCCCCCTTTTGTGTGTGTGTGTGTGTTTCTTACAAAATAGGCTGGTCATACTGTACTAGATGAGTGATTGATTTGACATGGAAAGTCATGAATTGTTCAGGTGTTTAACTTAAGAACATATAAGCAATAATTAAAATAGAAAATTCACAGCATTTTTTAAATAAAAATTTAAGCAGAACTTGAATAATGTTTTAGTTTTTTATCATCCATTCTTCTGATTTTGATTAATCTAAAAAATTCTAGTAAGAAGATGCTTCAGCATTCTTTTTGTAGAGAACAAGGTTTCTTTAAAATGGTACATCAAAGTATATTATATATTAATCTGATACCATTAATAATCCTCAGGCATTTTTATTCTTTCACAGATAAATTAATTAAGACATTACAAAAGGATGTGGACAAGGGAAGGACGGAAAAAAGGGCCATCACTGCACATGTTCTGCCAAGTGATTAGCTTCTGTCACTGGAAGATCTAGTCACTGTAAGAATTATGATTAAACGTAAGAACTTTGGTATTTAAATTCTGGTTAAAGTGTTTTGCTTATACTTTCTTTCCTTTTACTGACCTGTATGTAAGTGTAATCCTTTTACTGACCTGTATGTAAGTGTATGTGTGTGTGTGTGTGCGTGCGCGCGCGCGCGTGTATCACAATGATACAATGGAAACGTCAATACATTGGAAATGTCAATACAATGGAAATGTCAATATCAATACTAAGTAACTAGCTCAAGATCAAAACCTTGATACTTTGATGTAATGTGTGCCAATGTCTTTAGTTCTAATATTGTACTCAATCTGGTGTGCAAGAGTCAAATAATTTTATGCTAAATATTCTAAATTGCAGTATCTAAATACAAGATATTCTTAATTGTAATTAATACTTATATAAAAAAATTATGATTATACTTGAGAAATGATCCTTGAGTTTGCTTTTTAATCTTTTCTTTCCAATTCCTTTGTTTTTTTGTTATCCAGATTGTCAGCCTCTGGGATCATATTCAAACCTTTCAGCAGAATACAGGATTTAAACATTTTCAATAAACAAATATTTTCCTGAACTACCTACTCATGGCTCACAGTCTTCTCCATACTAATGCTGAGCAATTAATACCTGCTTTGGGTGGGGTCTTTGGAGCTGGTTTCTTCTTTACAGTTGCCTCACCTAGTAAGGAAAAAAAGTGCAGCTAGTTCAGATGTGAAGTTCACATGAATGATGAAACTCTTACTTATCCAACAAATCTTCTCATATCTTATCTTAGGCAATGTCTGCTTTAAGGATGAGAACACTGGTAATCTCTACCCAAGAAGAGATTCCTAGTGAGAAATAAATGTGAATACAGGTCATTGTATGAGATAACAAAGGCAAACTACATAACAAAGCTCTCACAGCTTTCTGAGTTCTTTATTTGGGTAGGGTTCATGGGAGAAGTATGGTCTAACATATCTCTTCTTACTGAGGACCTTTAAATCCACACTTTTTAACAAAAGGGTGAAGCACATAAAACATTCGGCTGCAACACTTTCCTCACCACATCTATACAGAAATAGAAATTTTGACCATGGCCTTGGGGCATTAATAAAAATATTTCAATCCTTTTCCCTGAGCCTTGGAAATATGTTTATTTTTTACAAAAGCAAACAAAAAACAAAATAGGAATTTCAGATATGGAAGTTTTCAGCTTAAGATAATTGGGAAAGATAACATGAATTCATAGAAACTAGAGCCATGACAATAAATGGTTTTCTGTACATAGTTTAATAATGAAATAGAAAAGAGATAATGCCCCACATAAATCTTGCTCTTAAATGCTGAAGAGTATTTCTGCAATGAACAGATTCAGCAGGCTGAGCAAAATACTCTAATTAAAAACTGAAAATTACTGAAATTCATTACTTTTCTATGTTTTGAGCTAATGTCCAGTGTAGCTGGAAGTTTATGAAAGCACAGGAAGGATGTAAAAATTGTGGAAAGCTGGACCTCAGTCCAAAGGTCACACTGAATGCATTTTAGGCTTATGTAGTGCATATTCAAGGGTTATCATTAATTTGGTAAATATATTTTTCTTCCTGTCTCAAGTATGCACACAATACTTCCATCTCTTAAAGGATCTGGGACTAGACATTTCCACTGATGTTGGTCTTTAGCGATGTAATAGTCATGGGATATTGGGACAAGATTGGAAAAAAAAGCTTTCTTTCTTTATTTAGCATGTTATTATATGACCTCCCATTTCACAAAATGTGATTCTGGGCAGCATACATCAATAAAAAAACCAGCAAATATATAAATATATCATATAAACATATAAAAAGTCATTATTAGAAAATGAAAAAAAAACATAAAAATTATGGCATGGAACTAATCTGCCTATAGGTGTGTGTGTGTGTGGGGGGGGAGAATGTCCCATCCAGCAGGCACCATGGCAAAGAAGGGCCACTTCCTGGGACCCACCAAATGTAGATCCCTAGCAACATGCCTTCTTTTCCAGAACTAATGGGATGGGCTAATACAGTGATGGCGAACCTTTTAGAGACTGAGTGCCCAAACTGCAACCCAAAACCCACTTATGCATCATCGAGTGCCGGGTGGGTGTGGCCCATTGGCTGGGTGTGGCCCATTGGGTGGGTGTGCCTGCGGTGGTATCGGCAGACTGGGTGGGACTAAAAAGTTCAATCAATTCCAACTTTGCAAGATCTTTTTTTTCCCGCGAGAAGTTGAAATTGACTGATTGAACCTTTTTTTTTTTGCACATGGCGGCAGAGGCCTAAAGCGAAAAGGTTTTCTAAAACCCAGCTGAAGGCCTAGGACACGTGTCCACAGAGAGGGCTCTAAGTGCCACCTCTGGCACTCATGCCACAGGTTCGCCACCACTGGGCTAATATAATATTATATAGTTGAAGCAGTTCCTCAGATAACCAGGGTTCAGGGTCATCTATATATGTTTTATAATTGGCTCCATCACTAAGAGTCAGGTATCTAAATTTAAATGGATGATTCAGGGTAGGCATTTACTTCCTGTTAAGAGCAAATTTGGTGAAAAAAAGGGACAAATATTCCAACTCTAACTCATTTAATGAATCAGTTATATAAAACTTCACTTTAAAACTTCTCGTCATTAAAAGTGCATACCTGTAAACTTATATTGGAAAAAATTCATGAAGCCACTGAGCAAGTATGCACTAAAATAAAAGAGATTACTACAAAAATAAGAGTCAGAAACCTTACTTCAAACCCTCAAACTGATTTCCAGACTTCAACTGACTATTCTATAGGCCAAAATACACCAAGAGGAATTAACCTACATCAAAGAGGAATTTATATTACCTCATAAGCATCCCACTGAGATTTTTGAGGATCAAAAGGTAACCTTAATCAAACTACATACAACTCCAAAAATAACAGGAGTTGACGTACAAACATGACTTACTGAGAACGATGACAACTTTGATAACCAACTATTAACCATAAAACTGGATACAATGGAATGTCTTACTCAGCTGAACCAAACATTGAGATTTGAATTTTTAAAGCAACAAGGGTCGAACTACAAAGGAATCAGGCTCCAAAAACGGAGGATGGGATGTCTTCCATTGACCCAAATGACATCACAAGCAATAAAGGGAGATCTCTCTGCTGAAACAGAGGCTCTGTTATGGAAACCTGCTTGGCACAAAAAGTAAGCCAGAATAAGACTGAAAAAAGAGACTTAAAATTACATGTAATGGGTTAAAAGGGCATTATAGAGATACGGATTGATTTAAGGTTTAAGATTCAGATTTAGAAGTGAGAGGAAAACTCGTGATTAGTAGAATATACATGTGAAACAGAATAAGAATGTATTTTTTGAAATAATATGTTTATTTTATGTATGAAAATTATTTTGTAATGGAAGAAAAGTGCATACCATGTGGGAGAAAAATGTACCTCCTGGCCTTGCAGCTATGAAACTTTTGTCATGACATTTGTTACAGTCCCATAAGAAGAGATGTTCAGAAGGGCTGTGTTTGTTCCTGTCCCGGTCTCCTTCTCCTGTTTCCTTTTCAGGCATTTTACTAAATATAGAAATGCAGAACTCCCAACTGCTCTAACTTCTCAATAAATAGCTCTCTGTGCAGTTCCAGTCAGAGCAAATTGACAAAAATGGGGAAAAAATTGCATGCAACTGCACAAAGACCATCTCCATCCACATATCCTTAATACTCTGTTCCACTAAGATTGCTTCACACAGATACAGGTTCACCAAGTTTTTTTTTCTTGAAAAAGTTGTTCCGGAAAATTTATTGCCTCACAAGAAAATGTAGCATTTATAAACCAGACTGAAGTGAACATATAAATAACCCTCCTTAAAAGAATAATCATGCTGCTGACGCTTGGCTATCTATCCTATTTTGCCAGGTAGTAACAGAAACTATTCCACAAAGTGTCTGATTGCAAATCATAAAATCCTAATAATTGTATAATTCCTAATTTTTTTATCAAGGCGATTATTCCTAATACACACAAACATGCATATTTCAATTTGAATGTCTGTTTTTTAGTATGCTGATCCACTATTACTCCTCTTCCCATTACATAAAGTGGAAATAGTCAAAACAAAATGAGAGTGAATACATAAACACACACACACACAAATTTTAAAATGCCCAAAATAATTTAATATTTCAGTAATGATCAATTGTGTTAGAAACTCTACTATAAAATATCAGAGAAAGATTCCATTGGGCTAAGCTTTATTCCTTGTGATCACATGATCATGTGCATATACTTTACCAAGCAAAAATAAGGAAGTGATTTTCCTTATTTCCTACCATTTTCCAGGAATTTTTTTTTTCAATTCTTCAGTTTAACTCTAGCTCCAGGGTTTTGTGGTAGTCTCCAGTATAATTACATTCTTATTAATAATGTGTTGGTGGTCCCTTCTGTCACTTGATGATAGTCTTCTACAATGAGCTCCTATTTCTGACTATTCAGATCTAAGTCCTTTTGTGTTCAGTAAGACTTAATGCCAAGCAAACACTGGCCAGTGTAAATCTACCTCTACCATAGAAATAAATAATAAAAATCCAAAATCTGCAATCTGCCTTCCACTGCACTTTTTCAAACAAAACCCTGAGATAGAAATACCTACTGTTTTTATTTTTTAAGACAACCCATAGAGCTGTAGAAGCTTTCTTATACATTAAAGATATTAGATAGCATTAATTGTTTTGCAGCATGTTCACTTCATTAAAAAAATAATTAGTTTAAAACATTTTTTGAAAACAATTAAATGTGATTCAAGGAACCTGGTGGAGCCAAAGGAATTATATTGTCCATTGTTGATTTCTTCCTGTCATATCTACTATTGCACAGTGGTGCAGTTTGTGTTTATGCTGTTTTAAAAACAACATAGAGCCACTGGAAATCATACCACAATGAATATGTGGGGCAGAGGCTGTGCTTAACCAATCAGCTTCAAGCCTCTTGCATGCTATCAAGAATTTCAGTGAAATCAAGTGGGACGCAGAACAGCTCCTCCAACTGAGATGTCCAAGCTGCTTCACTCAGTGGAATGTTTATCAGATTCAAAATTTTCAAAAAGCTCCCAAAGAATTGAGAGCAAAAGGGAATGGAGGAGTAAAAACAAGGGAAAAGCTAATTTTAGCATGAAAAAACAACTGCGTTCAAGAATTTGATTAAATATTTTGTATCTTTACCAAAAATTTACTTTAGAAAGCATGTAAGGAACTATTTACTTAAGGGTTCCTTCAGTTTTCAGATGAAATTACTGCTCTTGTGGGAAGCTATGTCTCTGAATGAACTCTGATTTTAATATCCTTAGCTAAAATTAGCCAAGATTTGTGGCTTCTCCCTACGAATTGCTCCCCACACTCACATACAGAATATTATAGCCTTCACCTCCAAGAATACATGAATATATTGCTGTGTTACATAAGTAAAGGAAGGGCAAAGTCTTCTGGTTAAATTAGCAAAAGAATTTTCATGAATCCTGCTTTGACATATATTTTTTTCTTTTTGATCCCAACATGACAGCACAAAGCATATTCGCTAACCTTTGACCCCTAACCTACTTGACAACTTGCCTTTTTGGATTGCCCTGTGAGTCCTCCTATTTCAGTGTTCCAAGTTGAATGTAACTTGCTTCCATTACCTTGTTTTGC